GGGAAAAAAAAGGAGGAGGATTGGCAATAGATGTTAGCTCAGGGCCAGTCTTCCTCAGCAAAAAGAGGAGGATTAGCACGGATGTTAGCTCAGGGCTGATGTTCCTCACAAAAAAAAAAAAAAAATTAAAAACAGAACTACCATATGATTCAGTAATTCTACTTCTGGGTACTTATTTGAAGAAAATGAAAACCCTTACTCAAAAAGATATACGCACCCCCTTGTTCACTGCAGCAGTATTTACAATAGCCAAGGTATGAAAACAATCTAAGTGTCCATCAATGGATGAATGGATTAAAAAAACCAGGTATAGAGGTTAAGTTCAGCGCACTCTGCTTTGGCAGCTTGGGTTTGTGGGTTCAGATCCCAGGCACGGACCTGCACCACTCGTCAGCCACACTGTAGCAGCGACCCACATGCAAAGTGGAGGAAGACTGGCACAGATGTTAGCTCAGGGCGAATCTTCCTCAAGCAAACAGAAAAGACTGGCAAAAGATGTTAGCTCAGGGCAAATCTTCCTCACTCCCCTCCCCCCAAAACACGGTATATACAATAGAATATTATTCAGCCATAAAAAAATAAGAAAGTCTTGCCATCTGTGACAACATGGATGCACCTTGAGGGCGTTATGCTAAGTAAAATAAGTCAGACAGAGAAAGACAAATATCATGTGATCTCACTTATATGAGGGATCTAAAATTTAAAAAAAAAACCTCAGAGACATAGAGAGCAGATTGGTGGTTGTCAAGAGAAGGGGGTGCTGAGGGGTGGGCAAAATGGGTGAAGGGGATCAAAAGATACAAACTTCCAGTTATAAAATAAATAAATCTTGTAATACGGAATATAAGGTACAGCATGGTGACTGTAGTTAATAATACTGTATTGCATATTTCAAAGTTGCTAAGAGAGTAGATCTTAAAAGTTTTCATCACAAGAAAAAAAGTAATTTTGAAACTATGTATGGTGACAGATATTAACTAGACTTACTGTGGTGATCATTTTTGCAATATATATAAATATCAAATCATGACGCTATACACCTGAAACTAATATAATGCTATATGTCAATTATACCTCAATTTAAAAAAACGTCCAAGACAGTACGAGAAGATAAGCTGCTCCAGGCAATAACAAGCAAAGACAGTGTTCCTAATTTTAAAAAATCAAGACTAAAAAGATTTCTGCATGACAAATTAGGGGAATATTAACCATAAGACTTTCTCAGTTTAATTCAGGAAACAAACCCTGCAAATGTTTATGCAACAGCTGCTATTACAAGGCACTGGGCTAGTCCTGCAAAGAGATTTAATCTACAAGGGGCAATGAAGACAAACACACAAATAACAAATAGTGCATAAGTGCCATAAAGAAACAGAAGTCCCACACTGCTATGATTCAAACTATCCAAGAGAGAAGGAGGAAGTGAACAGGCAATTTTCAACTGAAGACGCAGCATGCAAAGTGAGGTGAGCTCTGAAGAATTCCAACAGAAGAAGATGGGAAAAAAGCTTTCTAATCAGAGATGCCAGACAGAAGCAAGACTGTGCGGTGCACAGACTGTGTGACGTCGAGAATTTGAGTAAGGAAGAAAGAGTACATAAGGCTAGTAACAAAGTCTAGGGCCAATTGCAAAGGATCTTCATTCCAAACTGGCCATTTCTTTTTTTTTTTTGGTAAGGAAGATTGTCGCTGAGCTAACATCTGTGCCAATCTTCCACTATTTTGTATGTGGGGCACCGTCACAGCATGGCTTGATGAGCGGTGTGTAGGTCCACACCCAGGATCCGAACCCACGAACCCTGGGCTGCCAAAGCAAAGCACGTGAACTTAACCACTACACCACCAGGCCGGCCCCATAACCTGGCCATTTCTTTGCAACTTCCTCTATAACTGAACCATTCAACACCTCCAGGCAGAGGATCTCATCTGAATTAGACTTTAAAACCTTTTATCTGGCAGTAGAGTAAACCTCTGAAATGACAAAGCCTTGAAACTCACTTTCTGTCAATATAGAATACTTGGAAATAATCAATAACCACTTCTCTGCTTGGAGGTAGGCAGAACAAGCTTCCCTGATCTTTCTGGCATTACATCACTCTCAACTGGCAATTAAGAGGCTAGGGTCTATACAATCTCTGCTCCCTTTACAATGGATCTATGGTACAAGTAGCTGGGCCAAGAGCATGATCCCATCCACCTGCATTCTCATCCAACAGATACATTAAGTTTTGGGAAATAATCAAAGTATTTGGTGTGACTCTGACAGTCATGGGAAAATAAGAGTCTGATGGTAGAGGAACCACTGCTGAGAGCACAGCCTAGACTGGACAGCGCCTTGCAGTCTGAGACCTTGCTGACTGGCACGCTAGCATGTCGTCTGCCATTCCAGCTAACCCACACGATGACCTAGCAGCACGGCTGGGCAGCAAGTAACTGTGTAGACATGTGGAGTCCCCTCAGTGGTCTGTCATGCTCATAAAACCCGGACACCATCTCATTTACTTGGAAACGTCCAGACAGTAACTTAAATGGGGAAGCAGTGCACTTCCTTATGAGGGAAACTACATCCAAGTCATGCTGGCCATGCAAAGTAAGGCAGAGCCACAAAGAAGTGGGACTCTGGGGACCACCGACAGGCATCCCCTAGAGTGTATTCACCAATGTACTTTTACCACAGGCAGAATGCTGTGGAGAACATTTAAAATACTTCAAATACTCACAGGCCACCACTCTCTGCCAGGCACTTGTCTTGGCCCTTCATCCCACCTGTGCCCATGCCTGCCAACCATTCAGCTCCTGGGCCCAGGGATGCTACTGCAGAGGAGCAGTACAGGGGAAGTCTGGGACTATCTTTTCACCTGTCTCTTTCCCCACTAGAAAATAAGCTCCATCAGAGTAGGGAGCATTTCTGTTTTGCTCACTCCAGTGCCTGGCACAGTGTAGGCACAAAATAAGTATTTGTTGAATGAATAAATTAATGTCAAGTTTCCTACCATGCATACCATTAATGCATCTAGTCCTGAGTTTCTTCTTATTTCCGCACTAAACCAGTTTTACTTTTGCTTTCAAATGGTGTCCTTAACTTAAAAACAGGTAGGAAACAACAAGTCTGAAAATTTTGGGAATATGGCTGAGGGAAGCTGTGGGCCAGGCAAATTACAGCAACAAAATGGGCCAGCTTCCTGCAAAGCAGAAGAAAGAAAAACTATTTAAAAAAAAAAGTCAAGAACTGAATTAATCCAAGTTGTCTGAGGCCATTTTGTATTGGAGCAAAACACTCCAAAAATTTCAAGAACCCATGAAGGTACCACTTATATAATCATTAACAGTTACTGTCGGCTTTCTGTGTGCCAAATTCTGCGTCAAGCATTCTATCTAAATTAACTCATTTTCACAAAAACCCTACCTAAGTATTATTATTAGCCATATTTTAGAGATGAGGAAACTGAGACACTAATCCAAGATTACACAGCTAATTAGTGATCAAGATGAGATCAGCCAGGCAGTCTCAACCAGACCCTGTACTCTACCATATGAACACAGTCCAGTGCAATAACTGAAATCACAATAAACTGGAATCACGAAGAAAACAGTTTAATTTTGTGCAATATTGTCTAAGTAAGGAAGCAGGAAAATGTAATGATTCATTTTATAAAGAATTATTACAGTCAAAGTGTTGCTATTGAAGGCTCATCCCATGATGAGGAGAGACTGAGGAGTTATTGGACTTCCCCGCTCTGGAGCATCTTCCCACCCCCACCCCTGCACTCAGCACCAAAGGTCTGCTTCTTGCCCCCTTCTCAACACTCCTCTCTGGTAAATCCTTCTTCTTCTTTGTGATAATTCAATTTCTTTCTCACCTCACTTCAGAGGTGACTCAAACCACAAGCTATAGGGTTGTATAAGGTAAAAGTATACTCTGGTTTTCAGGCCCCATACCTCATTGCAGGGATAGCAGAGCTGAAGACGTTTATACCAAACAAAAACATGAAATGATACCATGTCTCCTATTTTTAAGAGCAAACCCATTAGCTTCAGTCATGCCCTCCAGGCCAACCAGGCAATGACCTTGCCCAACCCAACTTCTTCTTTTTTTTTTTTTGAGGAAGATTGGCCCTGTGCTAACACCTGTTGCTAATCTTCCTCTTTTTCTTTTTTCTCCCCAAAGCCCCAGTACATAGTTGTGTATCACAGTTGTAGAGTTGTAGCTCTTCTATGTGGGACACCACCACAGCATGGCTTGATGAGTGGTGAGCAGGTCCACGCACAAGCTGCGAACCAGCGAACCCAGGGCCACGGACACGGAACCTGTGAACTTAACCGCCACGCCACAGGGCCAGCCCCCAGCCAACTTCTTGAATCCATAACAGAGGCTGGCTACCCAAGGACAGAGCAGACGACAATCATAGCCTTACCTTCCCTTTCAGCGTCTGCAAAGCATCCAGGTAGGCTGCCAGCATGGGTAGACTCAAAGTCTCCACCAGGGTGGTATGCAGCCACTGGATCAGTTTGGTGTCCCAGCTCACACTTGCCAGAGCCTGCCGCACTCTCCTTGCACACTTGTCCACAGCAACACGGCGCAGCACTGGCTCATTGCAAGCCTGAAAGTGGAGTGATAAAACATGAGGGTCACCTTGTTAGGGATTGGGGGGGGGGTGGCAGGCAGCAAGTTAGTCAACCAGTGAGGCCTGAACCAGGGAGAGCCCACTGTGGACAGATTTGCAGAGTCTTACCCCTTCGTTGGCCAAGCGAGCAAGCCGGTCAGACTGCAGGGCTTTGAGGATCTTGTTGAATAGCTTGTTCTGGGCCATTGTCCAGCCAGTCCTATAAGAGAAACTCAGAGGAATTAAAGTCAAACCCTGGTGACACTTCCAGGCATGTACGCTGTACAAAGAAGATTATGCCATGTTTTTTGTTCCCACTATGAAACACTGTAACTTGAAGTAGCTTAATCTAAGACCACTGAGCTAAAGCACAGGCCCTAGATTCTGGTCCCAATACCACCAGTGAGTCACCTCTGCACACACTTATATTAATACACACACTATAAGTCAAAACCAGTCATGAATGAAGTCTTTTTAGTGTTAGCAAAGCTAATTATTGACCTAGTGACTAAAACGATTCATTAGTAAATAAAACCACGGCACCATTGCACAGATGTATTTGAATTTCACAAGTTTAATATTTCACACAAAAAGGCAGACAGGATGAGTAAACATTTTAATGTAATAAAACCTCAGACTAAGATAAGAGGCCTATTTAAATTAGCTTTAGGAACAAAAATACAGCAGAAATTTAACAAATGTGCTATTCTCTCACTCCCTAATATTCCACCCCACACTAACCTCGCTCCCTTTTCCGTGTAGATTTTTTATATGTTTTCTGTATATCACACAATTAACAGATTTACTTTTGAATGGTCTACTCCATATAAGTTGACACTGTGACATCCCAGCCTGTGACACTGGCATACACCCTTCTACCTTGCTTGTGGACGGCTGTGTGTGTCCTCCTCCAAGGCAGCTGTAAACTCCCTGCAATTAGAAACCTGTCCTGTTGCTCTTGTTCTCACCCATCACACCCAGCACAGTGGTATGGAGCTTACTGAAGTCCCCCTTCCACGCCACTCCTGGCAATCTTAATTACTCTGATATCCCAACTCTGGCCAGTAATCTTCCTACAGATACTAAGAGAAAGGTAACAGAAGATGCCCAATTAATATTTGTTTACTAACCCTCCTTGCCATAAAACAAACTGGTGATTAAATTACCTTAAAAAAATTTTTTAAGTGGGTGCTAGACCCAAATGAGAACCTGGAAGGAGATAAAGATAGCATTTCAAATCAGTAGGGATAAAAAAAGGGCTGAGACAACCACTAGCCAATTGGAAAAAGAAAATCTGGATCCCTACACATCACTCTTTACATCAAAATAAAAATTTCAGGTGGAAAAGTTAAATATTAAAAAATAAAGTTACCAAAGTACTAGGAAAAAATAGTCATTAAAAAAAAATAAATCACAACTATATAAAACAGATTAAAAGCATTAAATATTGGAAGTAAATGACAAAAAAATAATATATATGTAACTATCTTAAAATGAGTAAAGCCTTTCTAAGCATGACCTAAAACCTAGAAGCCATAAAAGGAATAAAGATACATAAAAATTTCAAACTTTTGTAAAGAAAAAAATAAAGTATCATAAAGTCAAAACACAATGGAAAAATAACAACCATTTCTTTAAAATAGAGAAAGCCTCTAGAAAATTATTAAGAAAAAAACAAAATACTCAAAACAAAAACGATGGGCAAAGAACATGAAAAGGCAGTTCACAAAAGAAGGTATAGTCAACCTCCTTCAAAATGAAACATACAAATTAAAGTAATAAAATATTATTTTTCACCTATCAAATGGGTAAAAATTAAGAAGTTTAACAGTACTCTGTGTTGTGAGAGTGTAAGAAAATAGGTCCATCTATACTTTGTTGATGGAAATATAAATTAGTACAACCTTTGGAAAGTCAATTTGGAAAATCAACTTTGGAAAAATTCAATCAAAAAACCTAAGTCAGGGCTGGGCCCATGGCTTAGCGGTTAAGTCCGCATGCTCCGCTGCTGGAGGCCCAGGGTTCGGCTCCCGGTGTGCACCGACGCACCGCTTCTCCGGCCATGCTGAGGCCGCGTCCCACATACAGCAACTAGGAAAATGTGCAGCTATGACATACACCTATCTACTGGGGCTTTGGGGGGAAAAAATAAATAAATAAATAAATAAATAAAATAAAACCTAAGTCAGATTATGTCACTGCTCAAAGCCCTTCCGTGACCCCATTTCAATCAGTTAAAAACCAAAGTCCTTCAGAGAGAACAGTTTAGTGGTTACCAGGGGGAAGTGGGTTGGGGGTGGGCACAAGGGGGAAGGGGCGCATTTATATGGTGACTCACAAATAATAATGTACAACTGAAATTTCACAATGTTATAAACTACTATTACCTCAATAGAAAAAAAAAAAGAAAAGCCAAAGTCCTTGCAATGGGCTGTTTGGACCCCACTGTCCCTCCAGCCTCATCGTCCATGACTGCCCCCGGCTTATACAGTGCTTCACCACGTCACCCCCTGACCCCCTACCCCCACCACACACACATCCTGCATGCTCCCACATCACGGACTGGGCCCTTGTCATCCACTCCTCTACTTGAAACAAGGGGTCCCTCTCCAATCTCTTTTAGGTCTTGGCTCAAATGCCACCTTATACTGAGGCTTCCCCTGACTAACCCCTATTTTAAACTGCCAACACCCTACTCCCACCCCGGATTACCCTCTCCCCCTTTCCAGCTGTATCACCACTTTGCATTCTATCCATTTTATTTGTTTGTTTTAGTCTGTCTCCCTCTGCTAGAATGTAAAGGCCAAGACGGCAGGAACTTGCGTCCATTTTTGTTCAAGTGCTACATCCCCAGCACATAAAATAGTGTCTGACACACAGTAGGGACGTGAACACCTGCTGAATAAATCAATGGAAGAGTTGTGTGCCACAACATTCTAAGTCCTGCAAACAGTGGAGTACAAATTCAAAGCCTCACCCTCCCCACCACACTAAACACAGGGGTACTGAGCAGCAGGGACACTGAAACAGCATTTAGGCTCAACTGTAAACTGAGTCTTCACCATACCGGGGGGGTCAAACTGCAGGGAAGCTGCCTGAAACAACTTCAACAATCTCAGTCTCTCTTACTTTATAACAGACTAGTAACCTTTCCATCACACCCCACTAACACGATACCCTATTTTCTACAAGTCATCGCTCTAAGAACACCAATAACATGGCCCAGTAAACACACAGATGGAGGACAAATTACCCTTTGTTATTCACTTTGCACAACCATCCCACTCTCCTTGGAAAGAGTAAATACCCTCTAGAAAGGAGGAAAATGGTCCAACTTCTTCTCTTGTAAAATAAAATCTCCATCTACTGCATCTCCAATTTTACAACTGACCACAGTTACACAGTGCAGGAGAACACTAACTAGCGCCAGGACTCTAACCAGCTCTGTAGGATAGAGCTGGCTGTGTGCCCTCAGCCTCCTTGACTGTGAAATGGACATGGACTGGATGATCTATAAGGTTCCTTCTAGTAATAAAAAATTCAGCTATGATTAGTGATGGGAGCAAAAGTTACAAGAGAGCAGCTGAAGGCCATGATCACAGAATTCTTCAGAAGTACCCTCTATCTTCAGTAGCCTTCCTTGCCACAGCTAAACCCCTTCTTAACCTCCAAAGCCTCCCACCCTTTTGTAACCCTCACACAGGGTACTAAAAGCAGTCGCAGGTTTCTTGGAATTGTCCTTTTTCTTATTTTCTCCTAGTTCTCTTGGTTTAATTCCTGCTACTTCATCAGGATCCAATCAGTTTTTGTTGTGATTTGACATGCAGAGAGATTCTGGACCTGGGAGGCGGGGAGTGGAAGCTTCAACTCAATGTTGGGACACAGACTACTTTGGGACCAGAAAGGCTTGTGCGGAACAGCAGCTCCAGCCCCCTGGTTCTGAATCTCGTTTTCCTTCACACTGTTAAATTACACAACACACTCACACGAGTAGCATCTCTCTTATGTATAGTGATCCTCAGGTGGGCTTAGGGATTTGGCGGTGGTGGTAGGAGACAGAGGATATTCACAGATAGTTTTAAAAAGCTCTCTGGAAATACATGGATATATCTCCATATTACACACCTCTCTGTTTTTAATGGCTGGTTCTACCCTATCAGTGGGCATTTAGGTTGTATCTCTTTCACTGCTATTATAAACAATTGCCATGACCACCCCTCCTTTCCCCACCAATACACACATCCACACATCTATCTACATCTCTATACAGTCATGCAAGTATCTCTGTAGGATAAATTTCTTAAAGTGGAAATGAAAGACCAAAAGCTATCTGTTAAAATTTTCGAACTGCCAGTTCTGTGAAAATAATATATATAAAGAACCCGCCACATCTTGAGAGCAGTATTACACTGCAGCCTTACCCCCAGCAATAATGCTCATTGATAATCAAACAGGTTAAGCAACGAATACAATTTCTTCATGTTCAACAATCTCGAGCTTTCTCAAAGCCTACTGATCACGTTGCAAACTTTAATTCCAAGGACAGAGAATGAGGTAGAACTTATTTATGAGGCACCAACAGCATTTCCAAAATTATCCCATTCTTTATTTTATAACAGGATGTTTTCTCTATTTGTTTTTCTTACTGTATATTTATTCTGAAACCCAAAATGATGGGAGCAAGGAAAATGATGTGAACAAAATGGGAGGGGGGCTAGAAAGCTATTTAGAAATTACTACCATACACCAATGACAGCTGAAATTAAATTGAAAAACCACAATGTTGAGAGTCTAGAATCCCAGAAAAAGTTCTTAGGATTGTTGCTGGATATATAACAAAGTGATTCCAAGAACTGAAACATGTTCTCTATATTTTGTCAGCTTCGTGGGAGGCTGGAAAATTAAGTGGGCAGAAAAAAAAATGATCTAACCCGAGATTAAGATAAAGAGCATGCAAAAGATATAATTAAGGAAAATTTTAAAAACAGGAGACAGAATTTTAAATACAAGTCTAAACAGTCAAATAGCTGATGGGAACTGTGGTGAGTCAATGTGCTCCCCCCATCTAAACCTATTCAATTTTCATGAGCGCAAAAATGCCTTTTCTTCATTTCTTAGATGAGCTCAAATAATCTTATGTTCTCCATGCTCTGACTGAACCTGAATGATGGTCTGACCTCTGGTTCATCTTATCCAAAGTACCCAAAAAGTCACACTGGTCCTAGAAAAGCCTGATATTTTCAAAGTTAATTATTCTTTCTCTGATATTGTCAAAGGTAATTATTTTTTCTCCGATATTGTTTCAAGGGAGACTAATTCAATATCAAAATATCTAAAAGATTTTTTTTTAACCAGAAGTCAAACAGGGAGAGACAAAGAACATCAGAGAGACGGAACAGGTCACACTTACTTTTCCAGATTATAAAGATTCTTTACTTAAACACCAGGAAAGAGAAAGGAAGGAAGGAAAGAGGGGGGTGGGGGGAAGAACACCAGGAGAAAGGAAGGAAGGGGAAGGGGGGGTAGGAAAGAGGGAAAATAAACAACTCAAAGATCTTGGACTCACAATGTCAAACATCCAACCCAAGATTAATACGTAGATAGATACATACAACATTGAGAAATATAATTAGAGCAAATCTAAAAAAGGAGAATGGGTTTTTTTGACTGAATTCAGTTCTGATTTCTAAGATAAGATAACCTGCTTTCTGACTCTAGATTCTTTTACTGAAATGTTGGAAATGTCCAAAAATCCATTTGAGCAATGCTGAGAAGTATCACGTGTCAGGAGTATTTTGTTAAATGTCTTTCAAAAGCTGTACATTTAATTAAACTTGGCATTTGACAAATATCTGGGGGAAAAAAAAGCAGGTCCAACTTCTTCAAGACAACATCAGCACACCAGCAAACGTGAATCACTTTCAAAGGCTCTCCACGTCACTGCTTTGGCACGCAGACACAAGAACATGTTCTAGACCAGTGGTCAGCAAACTGTTTCTATAACGGACTGGATAGGAAATATTTTAGAGTTTGTGGCCAAACGGTCTCTGTCACAACTATTCAACTCTGCAGCTATAGTGCAAAAGCAGCCACAGACAATACGTAAATGAATGGGCATGACTGTGGTCCAATAAAACTGCATTTATCGACACTGAAATCCGAATTTCATGTGTCTTCTTTCCATTTTTTTCCAACCACTTAAAAATGTGAAGACCACTCTTAGCTCGTGGGCCACACAAAAACAAGCAGTGGGCCAGATTTGCCGCATGGGCCACAGTTTGCCAACCCCTGATCTAGACAATTAAATCAGGCAGAGAGGGATATTTAAACTATTTCACAAAATATCAGGCTTTAAAAGAGAAAGTCAGAGTCAGTTGGGGGGAGGGCCTTCATTTTCTATACTCAGAAAGTTATCTGAAGGTGGTTTCTACTGAAATAATTCAAGAGGGGGGAAAAGTGCACTAACAAAGAAAATTAAGTTTCTTACTCCACTGATAGATCATTTAAGTTCTCTGAGGAAAAAAGATTTCTAGGGAGCTGTCCTACAGTTCATGAGTTCTTGATGTGGAAGAACTGTAGTTTTTCTACAGTTCTAAGGAAACTGTAATTTTACATGTTTTTATACAGGAAGAAAAGAAGCAGCAATTTAACAATCAAGTCAAGGGAAAGAACGGCAACCAGACGATTATAATCAGAGCAGAGCACACTGCAAGCTCCCAACAGGCTGCAGATCCATAATTCAGGGACAAGGTCATAAAATGGTGACCTCCGAAACTGAAGCCAATTAAGTATCATCAAATAATGAAATTAGCTGTGTGTAAAAGTGACCTACCTGAAGAGATGGTTTGTAAGCCTGTTGCTAATGAGAGAAGGACGCCTCCAAAATCTCATCAGACACTAAAAAACAAATAATCTGAGATAAACTGAGCACTAATTAAGCGTATCAATCTGTGGCAATGTCATAACAGAAGGATGGAGGTCCACATGGAGAAAGACAAGCCAAAGATAAGAACCTGTCAGTGTTTCTCTGCGGGGCTGGGCAGGTGAGGGTGTCCCCTGGCATATGTGGTGGTCCCATCTTGCTTTGAGGAAAGATGGGTGCATCCAGCTACCCTATTGAAGGAGGGTGCCTCCTGTGCAGACTCTCCTCTCGCCATCCACTTCTGGAATAGAATGGCTTCCCAGACTCTCCTACTGAGAACCAATGCTGTGGCCAGGCCATCCTAGTGTCTCATCTGCCTTGCAGTTATAGCTCTCCTTATAAATTAAGAAACTGGTATTCATATGTATTATTAAGCCTCTGATAACTTTGGTAAGTATGAAGAGTCCCCCAAAATCTCTTGACCATGACCATGGGTGAACTGATAAAAAACTCCATGCAGTTCTCCCATGCAGTTTCTGAAATTGCAAACTGAGAACAAGGCAATCAATAAACACCACAAAGGGACACACACAACTCTGTGAGGTCACCTTGTTCAGCCACCACTAACTGGTCTCTCTTTTTACTGCCCTTAAACAGAGGGTACAGTAGTTGAGAACACTAGGCTCTGGAGTCAGACTGCTTGCTTTGAACAAATCCCTGCTCCATCACTTCCTAACTTAGGTTTCTTAAACTCCCTGAGCTCAAGTTTCTTTACCATGTAAAACAGACATGAAGATGGGATATACCTCAAGAGTTACTGAGAGGATTAAAAAGAGAGAATGCATATGAAGCACTTGGCACAATGCCTGGCACCTAGAAAGCACTCAATAAACGGTAGTTCTTTTTGTTACTACCACTGTCACTATTTTTATTATTATTAACTGTAACAATGATGATAAACCGTTTTGCTGAATTCATGGACCCTAGCAATACTCCAGTAGTTGATCTTCATTCGCAGCAGAGTTTTCCTCTTTATCTGAAGCTCTGGAGAGCATTTCTCCCTCTTAGGGCACAACATTAATTCCAATTCAAGACTTCAAACAACTTTTTCACAAGCTCTTCAACCAAGGTGCAGAACTGTTCGCCCATCAACAGCTAATACCTTGATCTCACAAGCATACCTGCTCAATCTTGTTCCCTGCTTCCAACCAGACTCATAAATCATGCCAATTGCCTCAAACTTTCCTACCCTTCTTCCTACCAAATTACCCCTTTCTCTTCTGTTATTATAAAATAAGAGCTCTCCAACATTACAGCAAGTTTACCACCTACCAACTCCTGATGTAAGGATTTTAACATTCCCTTACACATAGTGGATAAATATATAGCGAAAGAACCATCAGGGAAATGCAGATTAAAACCACAATGAGATGTCACTTCACACCCATTAGAATAGTCATAATAAAAAAATAAGACAGACAATAACACATGTTAGCAAAGATGTGGAGAAACTGGAACTCTCATACACCGCTGGTGGGGATATAAAATGGTGCAGTTCTGCACCCTTTGGAAAACAGTCTGGAAATTCCTCAAAAGTTAAACATAGAGTAACCATATGACCCAGCAATTCTATGCCTAGGTACATATGCAAGAGAATCGAAAACATATGTCCACACAAAAACAAGTACATGAATGTTCATAGCAGCATTATTCACAATAACCAAAAAATGTTAAAAATCCAAATGTCTATCAATAGATGAATGGATAAAGAAAATGTGGTATGTCCATACAATGGAATATCATTCAGCAATAAAAAGGAATGAAGTACTGATACATGCTACCACATGGATGAACCACGAAAACATTCTGCTAAGTGAAGGAAGCCCATCATAGACCACATATGTATGATTCCATTTATAGGAAATGTCCAGAATAGGCAAATTTAGAGAGACAGAAAGTAGACTGGTGGTTGCCAGGGGTTGGAGGGTTGGGAGGAAATGGGAAGTGACTTAACAGGTACAGAGTTTCTTTTTGGGGTAATGAAAATGTTCATCAAATTGACTGTGGTGATGAATCTACTAAAAACATACCTTGATTGTACACATTAAATAGGTGAATTGTATGGCATGTAAGTTTTATCTTCATAAAGTTGTTGTGCAAAAAGTCAAAGATAAATAAATGTTTGCCAAATGAATGACAAATGACCTGAAGAGGAGTACTGAGGCCCCCAGGGTCAGTAGGAAGCATGGGAACAAAACTAGCCACAAACTCATGAAAATGGGCTGAAGTGTTCCTTCAAAACTACCGACTGAAAATCTGTTTTTAAAAGTCACTCAAATCAAACATGTGTTAGCTTTTCATATGACTCCCCATTTTCATTACCCTAGTTATAGACCATATAAATGCAGCATCTTACAAATGTACATTTATCTAATGGTTGGAGTTTTTTTTGTAGTCTGGGTAACTGCCATATCATAATCAGCTAGCTACAGAGCTAGTCATACTGATAGTTCATTTATTTACTGAATAAACATTTATTATATGCCTACTATGTGCCAGGCAGTGTCCTAGGTGTCAAGGATGCAAAGATGGGTGAGACACAAGCCCTCCTCTCAAGGAGCTGACAGTTTATAATGCAGAGAGGAGAATATTCTGACTTGTGTGGCTGCAAGTGAAATAAACTCCTAATAAATGTGTTTCGATGATGATGATACAAAACATTTACAGTGCGGTGACCATTAACCCAGTAGTGATCAGTCCTGAGGAGCCGCCTACCTGTTGACATGCTCCTCCCAGTCCTCTGGTGGGGGAGGGGCATCCGCATCAGTCCTGGCGAAGATGACATGCCGTTCACACTCGTTCATCACGCTGCGTGCCTTCTGATTGTCGTACAGCGGCACAGGGGTTGCCGTGACTGTCTCCACGTCTATTGGGACATCTGATTCACTGTAAACAGGTGAACAAATAGGACCATGCCACACGTACTTCACACAACACACGTGTTTAACAGTCATCGGCTTGCCAAAAAAAAAGTCTCTTTAATATAATCAAGAAGAAAATTATGATCCAAAGTCATCTTTCCCACACTTGTCTAGACCTCTGCCCTCTGACATATTGGTATGTGCAAGGGGAACAGAAAGTCATTTTAAAATGAGTCTATGCAAAAAATGACAAAAAGCTATTTTTCAAAAAGGACAAATATATTCCGCAAGCAAATAGCTGACTGCCTAAATGTGCTTCCTAGTACAATAACTATAACCCACATGCAACCATTTAAATTAATATAAATTAAATAGAATTAAAAATTCTGTTCCTCAGTCACACTAGCCACATGTCAAGTGCTCAACAGAAATATGTGGCTAGTGACTACCATACTGGACAGCACAGATACAGAACGTTTCTACCACTGCAGAGTTCTGTTGGACAGTGCTGGTCTAGAGTTTTAAATTATTCATACAAACTTTCCCTTTCATTAGAAGCCCACTGATAGTTAATTATATGCTGTAAAAGCCTATGATTGTCTAAGAAGATCACCTGGAAGGTAGACACCTTAGCTATTTAACTCACTGGGTAAGGAGCCTAGAACAGAAACAAGTGGAAATGGACATCTGAAGGATCTTTCATATTTTAAAATGTTGTTAAGGAAATCCTATTGCTATAAGGGTTCTTAACTGTACCAACTTTGTGACTGAAAATATTATGCCAGACAAACTGATCTACTGGCTGTCTACCAAACATCACTTTAACTTTTTGACCTCGATGATCTTACTGCATCCACTCCCAACAGCTGGAATAATTACATCATTATGAAATGAAGTGAAATAATGTGTAGCTAGATTTGGTGGTGGGTGAAAGAGCTGATTATCTTCTCTGGACCAGACACCGGGCTAGGCGCTTGGACCTGTATGCCTAAAACAGAACTCTTGATTTCACCATTCCAAATCTATCCTCTACCAGTCCTCCCCCACTTATGGCACCATCCAGCAGCTCAAGCCAGAAATCTAAGATCCTTCAACAACTTCTTACCACTTCTTACATGAGGTAGGTTCTGTTAACTTCTCCCCTAGCTCCCACTGACAGCCCCATTGCAACCATATTCCAGACACAGTGGCCTAAAAAGAGTTCCTAGAACATGGCCAACTCCCACTCTCAGGGCCCATATATGGATACAGAATACAAGAGGAAATAATTTTCTAAGTACTGAAATGACCAAGTCTACAGAATCTCACTTTAAGAAAATATCATGAGATATGAACACAGGACTTTCAGCATTGGCAAGAAGCTACTACATAACTAAGAGAAAAAGATTTCAAATTCTACTTAAAGGAGCTCTTCAGCTATACCCTAGACCAGAGGCATCAAGGTTATGGTGGATTATTCCCTGAAGTCACAGATCCCAGGCCCTGTACAACCAAAAAAGCCAACAAAATGTTGCCCTCATTAGGAAATGAAACAAAAGTACTATTCTACATGTGTTAAAAAATCTTGCTTTCCTAACGCCTTAGATGACTTGAATGCAGATGTCCACCTATAGGCCCGATATCCTCATGCTGCTTAAGAGATGCCTGAATTAAACATTCAAGCCCCCCATATAATCTCCCACAATAACACCCTCTCTAATTCCCACCCTCTGACCACTGCCCAATTAGCGCAACGGCAACCCTTAGGAGAGAAGCCCAAACTCACATGGTACTTTCGTGCTGCCTCCGGGGAGTGACAAAGAGCATACGGGTGGGGCGGGCACTACTGGCATCTGGGTGGGCACTCCATGGCTTGGCATAGCTATGATCCAGAAAAACCAGGTCCAGCTCCCGTTCGTGCACTGACAGCTGGAACAGCAACGAGGTGCCCATGCGCCGCGCTGAAGTCTGGAAGTCCCTCTCCCCACCCCGGTGTGCCATGTCAGCAGAGGGGCAGCAGGTCAGAGAATGGGTAACTGCATGCTAGTCACCTGCAGTGAAAAGTTTCAGTTTATGGCAATTCAAACAGTCTTCCAACCCAGAACATCTAACAAGCTTCTTACTTTTGTGACCTTCTATCATTCATAATTGAATACCCATTACACAGCACATCCTTGCCCCCCCCACAGGGAGGGATCCCAGAGTCCCCAGACCACCACCAAAAAGGCTATGGCACCATGAATTCCTCCACATTCAATCTCTACAAAATTCGTTAACTGGGAAGCTGAGTGGCTCCACTGTTCCGAAAGGCCTGGCACGGACAGGTACCACACTTGCTTGGCCAGCGCCACAATTTTCTAGGCGGGCGGGAAGGGTTTTGGGAAACAAGAGGAATCACAAATAGTAATTCTTCCAACGCTAAGGGTCTCGATTGCTTCTCCGCCTTCTCTACAGCTCCAGAGGGACATCGCTGCAGCCAGAGCGTGAGCACCCGTCACTGCAGGGCAGCGTGGGCCTCAAGGAAGCCCTGGAAGTCTCTTGTTCCATGTTCAATAAAAGTTTTGCAACTACTTCAGAATACTCTGCAGTTTTTAAATATACACACAGGAGAGCTCCTCCCCAAAGCCTGTAACAAAACACTATCCCAGGAAGACCTCGCTCCCTCACCCTGGGGCGGGATCGCCCGGGCAAACCGCCCGGTACTCCAGGGACCCCTGGGGGTCTCGCCACGGAACCTCAAAACGGCCCCTCTAGTTGGCATGGCTCGTAATTCGCACTTTACAGACGAAGGCGCCGGCTCGAGGGGATGAAGGGACTTGGCCAAGGTCACCGCGAGTTCGCGACGAGGAGGAGCCGCCTCGCACCCGCCTCCCGCCCGCCCGGGCCCGGCTCGGCGCCCGCGTCCCGGCGGCCCAAGTCCGCCCCCCAGCCAGCACGCCCGCCCGACCCCGGCCGCCCGACCCCGGGCTCAGCTCCCGGTCCCCGCATGCCCCGGCAGTCCTGCGGCCCTCGCCGAGCCCCCCGCCCGCTCCGACCCGGGCCGCCACCCCCACGGCCCGCCACCCAGCCGGGGCCCACCCTGCCCTCACCCGCAATCTTCGGGCCGCGCGCTCGACCCGGGCCGGACCCCTGCGCGCGTGCGCGCTACCGCCTCCACGCCCCGGCGCTCCGGGCGCCGAGCAAAACGCGGACGCGGATTACAGCCTGGGACGGGAGGAGCAGTGAGCGGCAAAACCCGGAAAGGATGCAACTGCGGCCACGTAGGCGGGAGGAGGAGAGTCGGCAACGGGCGCGGGTCTCGGAGGCAGCAAGTCAGCGCAGAGTCCCGAGTGTCCGCCTCCTGCATTTTCAGCAGGGAAAGCGAGGGCAAAGGAGGAGGCCGGCTTGTGAAGCTCCGGTTCTCGCTGTCCCCGCTGCATTGTTCCTTTGCCCGGTGCCCGGCCAGGGGCGGGAGGGCGCGCAACCGACTTTCCACCTCCGCCAGAGCAGGCCCCCCTGAATGTGCTCGTTAAGAATTTACTTTTAAGAAATGACCACAATAAAAATTAAAATAAAGTTAAAAATAAAAGGTTGCTGTGAGCCTAAAACTGCTCTAAAAATAAAGTGTATTAAAAATAAATAAGATGAAAAGAAACGTTTATCCGGAGCTTTCCCAAGTGGTGTTGGTCCCTGCAGAGATGAATCAAGACCAGAGCCTGCAGTAATGGAGCTTAAGGAATAAAGGGAAGGCAGGGAAGGCAGTGCCACTCAAGGCAGAGAGCAGGCTTGGGGGCTTGCAATGTTGGCTCCAACACTTAACTCCCTGGCATTGTGACCCAGCAAGACCTCTGGGTCCCCTCATCTCTAAATGTGCAAAAACCTCACTGGGTGGCTGAGAGAATGAAATGGGTAATGTGCGGTACCTGGCAGGAATACAAATAGATTTCAAGATGGTAATTACCATGAGGGACCCCAGAGTGTTCCAGAAGAAAGATTTCCCGACCAGGGGATTGGGGTGGTGTCATGAAGGGGAAGTCACCTGAGGCTGGGCTCTGAAGGACCAGGCCATTGCAGAGGGATTGGAAAGGTTGGTAAGGGCCTGTGCAGAGAGAGCAAATGGGCCAAATACACCCAACACCATTTTCATTGGCCCACACATTACTTTCTTAAAATTTTATTTAATTGCAAACATTTTGAACTTGGGAGATTTCATGTAAAAAGCCAGATTTCTGGATTCTCTTCAAAAATTGGAGGCTGTGGCAGCACTGGACTCCCCTTCTGGTGTGGCAGGCGTGGGGTCCTCATATGCTTGCACTCTGCCCAGCTTCAATAGGCCTCCTTGGCCCCTGTGGCATTAATTCATCACGCACCCCTATACACACACACTCACACACCATCCCCAGCTAGATTTAAATGCAAACGTCCCTGGGATGGAAAACACAATCAGGGGTCAAGTCCAGTCATTTCAGGGTGATTAGTGGATTGGTTCATTTTGGTTGCCCTATCAGGGCAGGAGTGAGACAACTGTGGAAGTAGGGTGCAGAGACCAGCCCAAAGAATGAGACAGTGCTACAGAGGGCCTGTGCAATGCCACATGGTGTCCTAAGTGCCTAGAGGAAGGGGGGGCGGGGCAGTGGAGAGAAAGGAGGCAAATTGTCACTTCACAATTCTGGACTGTTTTCAACGCGACAGTGAGCCTTCTCTACAGCACGGATGTCAAACCCTTAGTGCTTGTGCTGCAGTTTTATTTTTCTGTGACCATGGCAGACATGATTAATCAATCACAGTCCACTCTGCAAAATCGTTTTCTCCATATGGGACTCCAAGCTGTCACTACCAATTGATGAGAGTGAGCCATCTCTTCTCTTTAATGCCTCTCCTTCCTCTGATATCCTGTAGGATGCACGTGGCCTTCATTCAGTCACAATATTTCTTAAAGTCCCACTATGTGGTAAGTACTGTGCTAGGTGCTGAGGATACAGCACTGACAAGGCATACTTCCTTTTAATCTACATAAATAATTGTTTAATTTATAATTGTGATAATAAGGGCTAGCATTTGGAGAATGCCAAACAAGTTCTAAGAGACATACATGACTTACTTCATTTAATCCTCTCAATGACTTTATGTGCTAGGTTCTATTATAGTCATATTCAGAGAGGTAAAGTATTTTGCCCAAGGTCACACAGCTAGTAAGTATCAAAGGCAGAACTGGACCCAAGGCAGTCTGGCTCCAGAAATTAGGCATTTAACCCCTCACAACTCCACTCCCCACCATGCCTACTGCAATAAGGAAAAGTGCAAGGTGATGAGGACACATGGAACAGTGAGCCAGCTTTGGCTTGCGTGATGGGGAAGGTGTCCTCGTGGAGGTGGCATTGAAGCTGAAACTAAAAGAGGAGAATTAACATGGTAGAAGCAGGGAGAGACGCTCTCCAGGAAAAGAAACAGCAAAGACAAAGCCTCTGAGGTAGAAAGGAGCTTGATAACATTAAAAAAAAAAAAAGGCAAGAACAGTGTAGCTAGGACGCAGTCATCAGCAAGTGGAGAGAGACGAAGTTGGAGAGCTAAACATAAGCCAGAGCCTGTAGGGCCCTAGATGCCCTGGTAACAATTTTGGATAAAGAGGATGTGGTATATATACACAATGGAATACTACTCAGCCATAAAAAAGAGATGAAATCGTGCCATTTGCAACAGCTTGGATAGATCTTGAGGATATTATGCTAAGTGAAATAAGTCAGATGGAGAAAGTCAAATACCATATGATTTCACTCATAAGTGGAAGATAAAACCAATAACAACAACAAACAAACACATAGATACAGGGATTAGATTGGTGGTTACCAGAGGGGAAGGGGGGAGGGAGGAGGGTAAAAGGGGTGATAGGGCACATGTGTACAGTGATGGATGGCAATTAGTCTTTGGGTGATGAACATGATGCAGTCTACACAGAAATCAAAATATAATAATGTACACCTGAAATTTGTAAAATGTTGTAAACTAATGTTACCTTGATACAAAAGAAAAGAATTTTGGTATTGACCATAGACTGCTTTGTGTTAACTTTCCTCTGTGTTTTGTAAAGAGAGTGTAGATCCTCAAAGTCAGGGATGTTAGCCCTCTTCGCATCCTTAAGAGTACACAGCCCAGGACACAGGGGATGGTTCCTGTGTTGACTGATTGATGTTCGGTACATTGGTTGACTGACTGACAAGATACCAAGGCAAGAGGCATGGTTCAAGCTGAAAAATAAATCTTTGCCACTTCACACCCACTAGGATGGCTACAAAATCAACAATGACAAAAAAACATGATGAAAAGTGTTGACAAGCATGCAGAGAAAGGAAAACCCCATACATTGCCAGTTGGATTGTAAAATGGTGCAACCACTTTGGAAAACATTTCCTCAGAAAGCTACAGAGTTAGCATACGACCTGGCAATTCCACTCCTACATATATACTCAAGAGAACTGAAAACATACGTACACATAAAAGCAAGTGTACAAATGTTCAGAGCAGCATTATTTATAATAACCAAAAAGTGTTAACAACCTAAATGTCCATCAACTGATGAATGGATAAACAAAATGTGGTATATATCCATATAATGGAATAACATTTGGCCATAAAAAGGAATGAAGTACTGATACATGTTACAACATGGATGAATCTTGAAAACATTATACTAGGTGAAAAAAGCCAGTCACAAAACACCACATATTGTATGATTCCATTTATATGAAATGTTCAAAATAGGGAAATCTATAAAGACAAAAAGTGGGTTCATGGTTTCCAGGGGCTATGGGAAGGGGGAAATGAGGAGTGACTGTTAATGGATATGAGGTTTCTTTTTAGGGTGATGAAATCTTCTAGAATTAGATAGTGGTGATAGTTGCACAACCTTGTAAATATACTAAAAACCTGAACAGTACAGTTTAAAAGGCTGAATTTATGGTATGTGAATGATATCTCAGTAAAGCTGCTAGTTAAAAAAAAAAAAAAAAAAGAAAGAACCTTTATTGTTTTAAGCCTCTAAGATTTTGGGTTTGTTTGTTACCTCAGCACAACATAGCCCATCCAGGCTGACACATCCAGCCAGATGATCCATCAACTGCAAGGGCAGAATAAAGACATGTATAGACCTGCAAACACTCAAAAAATTCAGAAAGCTACTAAAAATTGTGTTCCACTAAGATGAGAGAGTAAATCGAGAAAGAGGAAGACATGGGATCTGGGACAGAAGGTCTAACACAAAAGGCAGACAAGGGGAATTCTAAAGATGAGGGTGAAGGGAAGTCCCAGGATGATAGCTGTGCTACAGGCTGGGGACCAAGCAGTGTAGACTGGAGAGGAGAGACGGCCACGATGGGTATCTCCAGGGACAGCAGTAAAACTAGTAAAATCCCTGATGGATGTGAATCTGGGGAAAATTGTATTAAAAGGAGTATCACAGAGCTGTTGAACGATGTTAGAAGACTTGGTCAGACTTTCAAGAAAAGCAAGCAAAGGAAAAAAACAAAGCAATTCTTAACTTACAGAAAACACAAAGTTATATAAGGAAGGACATGGAATTGGAGTATATTACTTGATCTGCAGTGAAAACTATACATTATCATAATAACGAAAATACTGAATCTAGATTTAGCCCCCAAATGAGATATAATTATATTGGGAGAATAGGATGCAGGAAAGGCAGAGTGTGAGAAAGCTAAACTCCTCATAGTGGGTGATGAACAGCAGTAACTAATGTCTGGAAGTGGTGAGTCAGGGGAAACTGGGGAGAGAGAAGCTAGGAGGCAGGAAAGGAGTGAGAGACGGAGTCAGAGAGCTGGCTTAGACAGTGTCTCAAATTGAAAAATTCAAGTGATGCTATTTAAATATGCTATTTAGAGATATAGAGATTAATACTATTAGAGTTGACAAAAAAAGAGCAGTCTCTGCCCAGCCTCTCCCCACACTTAATTCCCTCTCCCAGGCACTTCTCTTGGGCCAGGGTTCTGCTGTTTTTCTATTTATACCCCATCAGGGGTGTGTATGATTTGTATCTTTTCTCTGCCCTCCTTCCTTCCTTAGCACACCAAATTTTTCATTCTTTGCCAATTTGGGAGGTGATAAATTGGTATCTTCCTGCATTTATTTGCTTATTAGTAGCTTGAATTTTTTTCTTACATCTTTTTTTTGGCTTTTGAGTCTAATTTGGCAAAGCGATGAATGATATTTCATTGCATTTCTTTGATTATTAAACAGACTGAATTTTTTATGATTTTTTATATCCATTTGGGCAATTGTCTGATAGAAACTTTGCCCCCATTTTCCTTTGAAATATTCATCTTTTTCTTGTTGAATTATAAGAGCTCACGCTAGAAAAGGTAATACTCTTTTGGACATTAAATATGTTGCAAATGTTCCCTACTTTGATATTTGCCTATAACTTTTAAGTATATTTTTCTGTACAGAAATTTTAAATTTTGTGCGGTCAAATCTATCAGACTTTTCCCTTATGGGGTTTGCCTTTTGTGCCTTGCTTAGTTTGGAAAATCATTAACAAAGCAAAAAGCATTGTGTTGTGTTTAGATTCAAGAAGAACTGTCAGGAAGTACTTTTTTTGTTGTTGTTGTGAGGAAGACTAGCCCTGAACTAACATCCAATGCCAATCCTCCTCTTTTTGCTAAGGAAGATTGGCCCTGGGCTAACATCCTTTATATGGGGGGACACCTGCCACAACATGGCTTGATAAGCAGTGCATCGGTGCGCGCCCAGGATCCGAACCTACGAACCCCAGGCAGCAGAAGCGGAGCACGCATACTTAACCACTGCACCCCTGGGCCTGCCCTAGGAAGTACTTTTTCGCTTTAAATCTACTGCACCAGGAAGCAATCAATCATGCACCAAGATCACACATCCAGCTTTGAATGCCATGTCTTTGAATGCCATGCATCTCTTAGAATGTGTAGTAAGCTTAATGCTAAATTGTTTCATCAACTAAATATACACTTTTAAAACATCCATTAATTTTCAGGCTAATCGTGGGATAAGATGTAACTTATACAATGTTCAACCTTAAAGCAGAAAAAGCCTTAATGTGGACAACAGGAGCCAACAAGCCAGCTTCGTCCTCACACCGTCGTCATGCCCAGAGGCCTTGAGAGCAGTCAAGACACCACAGCAAAATTGTACTGCTGATGAGATTTTTCTTCAGCCTTACAAACCCAGCCGGTGTAAGAGCTCATTGGTTAAAAAGCTAATTTCCCTCTGTTAAAGAGAGACATGGCTGAACTGAGGTTTCCTTAGAAAAAAGGAGTCTTAACTATTTGCTTATACATTAAGCAGGACTCCTCCTGAAACATCATTGAAATCGGCTTTGACTTCCCTATTCCTTTCCTCAGATCGCCTTGCTTCTCTCATTTTCTCATCTAAATTGTGTGACTTTGGCAATGATTCACTCCAAATAACTTGCTTGTATAAAGAGAAAATATAACTCTTATACCGGATCTGAAATCAGACAGCAAGAAGAAAAGAGAAAAGAAAGAGGAAACGAAAAGCGGTCCAATTGTCTGGTTTCCACAGGCCCAGTCACCTCCAGCCCCTGGCTTCATACTCCCTGTGACTTCTCTCATTCCCTTTCATTCCTCTCCAGAACCAAGAACCACCCACCTGTGTGACATCGACTCTATTGCTAAGCAACAGACTCAGGGCTCCACTCACCCCCAGGAGCCCTAGGAGAAGCCTGGGACCCAGGTGCTGCGAGAAGGAAGCTTCGCTACAGAGGGACGGAGGGAAATAGGTCAAAGACATGCTGCGGCTTGTCGTGGAGTCGGCCAAGATCAACCCGCCCCTCACCCCCGCCCCCAGACCCTGCATGACCGTCTACTTCAGAGGTGAGAGCCAGATGGGAGAGAGGAGCCCCAAGGGGCAACATGCATTCAGTGAAAAAATATATTTCCTGTGCCCTACAGTGTAAAAGATGCCCTGTGTGACAGGAAGGTGAGGTAGACACCGTCCAGTTCTTTCAAAACTTATCATCTTTATTGGTCTTGTTTCTCTTACTGTGACATCTCTGCCTCCCATTTTTTCCAGGAAATGGCTATGAGAAAAAGAGAAGATTAATTCTTCTCAAGCCTCTTCTGTGAACTAGGGCTCGGCCACAAACTGAGGTTTAAAGACAAAAAAGTACCCACTTCATAGGATTGATGTGAGGATTTAAAAAGATAATATATGTACAGCTTTTTGTACAATTTCTAGTAATTGCTCAATAATATTAATTACTTTTACAATCAATAATAAAATTTATATTTTCGTAAGTATAATGACTTTTGCTCCTCACAACAATGCCATGAGGCCAATAAGGCAAGTTTCATTGTCGCTATTTTTTTTTAATATTTTATTAAGACTTTTCCTTTCTTTTTTTTTTTTTTTGAGGAAAATTGGCCCTCTGCTAACATCTCTTGCCAATCTTCCTCTTTTTTCTTTTTTCTCCCCAAAGCCACAGTACATAGTTGTGTATCATAGCTGTAGAGTTGTAGCTCTTCTATATGGGACGCCGCCTCAGCGTGGCTTGATGAGCGGTGAGTAGATCCGCACCCAGGACCCGAACCGGCGAGCCCCGGGCCGCCTAAGCAGAAAGTGTGAATTTAACCACTACGCCACCACGCCGGGCCCCTATTGTCTCTATTTTTTATACATAAGGAAAAAAGTCCAAGAAAGGTGGGGAGGAAGGCGGTGATAGAATTTATGAGAGAGAATGAAAGAGATTATGTATATCTATATAACAAAGCTGAGAGCGAAGGAGAAAGAAAGGAAAGCAAAATGAGCAGTTGGTGGAGAGTCTGGGGAGGTAGATACAGGAAAATGAGGTTTTCCAGAAAGCGTGGAGAATGAGAAAACTGGAGCCAAGAGAAAAGAAGAATACAGTAGTTTCTACAAGAGACATGAGTGAAGAATGAAATTCCCTCCATTTTTTCCTGGTCTGTGAAACTGTGGTTGCTCAACATGACAACAGTCAGACTGAACGTTTGGGACTCCAGGCTCCCAGGGCGATGGAGGTTTATGCCCCGAGTCTGCAGGCTGCAGGAGGTGCCGTGGCTGTTCAGTGTGTCTTTGCCCCTACTGACTCATACTACGCTGAGCCAGGGAACAGCCTTGCAGCTCCTCTCCCTGATCTGAGCCATATTCCCCACCACCTCGTGGACGCCATCTATCTCCTCCTAGAAATAAGTATTACAAAGATGCCTAAAACCCGGAATTCTGGGTTTACCAGCAGGTTTACCTACAATTTCTTGTAACTGAATGTTTGTTTGAGATTTTTTATTCCTTTTTCACATGTTCTTCCTAGCCGTCTTTCCCCGTATACCATGCACTACCCTGCACACCTTCCCGCTACCTAACAGGCTCACTCTCTCTCTCTCTCTCTCTCACATTCTTTCCTTGGGAAGAATCTCAAAGTAATTCAGCAATTGAGAGGTTCTTTGCAGGGCTATAGACTGGTCTTTATTAAAGATATTTCTGAAGGAGAGGGATTTTAGTAGCTGAAGAGCTTTCAACCCGTTATAGCTGTTTTGGGGTGTCTTAGGGTACACTAGGCTTTGCTCTGGTAATAAACTCTTAAATTGCCTTAACACAATAAAAGTTTAGCTCTTGCTCACACAAGTCCTGCGTGGATGGCGCTGGTCGGGCGGCTCTCCAGAGTGGCTCCTCTAAACAGTAGTTTAGGGACCAGCTGCTTGCTGCTTCTGGCTGCAGAGTCACCCGGGCACCACCCAGCCAGCAGATCGTGAGTGTGGATGTGAGAGTGAGGAGAAGGAGAACGGAGAATCTCATGGGAGATTTTAGGAGCCAGGCTTGGCAGTGGTGAATATCACTCCCATACTCCATTGGCCAGAACAAGTCACGAGGCCTCACCTGGCTGCAAAGTGGGCTGGGAACTATGTACCCGAGAAGAAAATGAAATGAACACGTGATACTATCTGCGATGCGAGCTGATGTTTCTCTTACAAAAAGTGAGAGATTTTGAAACTTCCAGGGTAGGAAAGAATCAGTGCCATATCACACCTGCCAATGTAGATTTGAAGTTTTCTTAGAGAGTCTTTCCTTTCTTTACCCAGTCGAACTTAGACTTTGAAATATTTCCTACCACCAATGCCAGCCCCTTGGTGTCTTTGCAGATATCAAGAAGAGAACTCGTGAGGCGGAAGGGAATAACCCCACATGGAACGAGGTAAAACCATCAGGGCAGGCCCAGAAGAGGCCTTAACAACCCCGTAGTGAGGTTGGGTCCAGGCTGTGCTCAGAAGGGAGAGGACAGGGAACCTCACCAGCTTTTCCCAAGGCTGAGGTACCTCGGCCTCGGAGTAGCCTCTGAGCTGACACAGCTATGGAGGCCTGAACACAGAGGCTAAATCTGCCCATAGCTGTTCTTGGCCCTTCTCCCAGACTCTCGGGATGGACCACAGTACGGCCCATCATGTCCAACTGGGCCATGCTAATGTTCCCAGAAACCTGAAGCAAAGATAATGGTCCCTGTGCAGGATCCTGTCTCATCTTCCATCCATCCATGTCCACCTTCTCTTGGTTCCTAAACCTCTTCACTACTAACATGCCCATAATACTGCAGTTCAAGTCACAGGAGCCCAAATAGGATGCCCAGTACCTTGGTGAAAGGAAGCAAATGCCCTCCTCTTAGGAAATTAGACTTGAGGGAGGTTCCTCAGTTTGAGAGAAACACAGTGCCAACCCATTCCCTCCATCTTTCCAGAAGGATGGGAAGGGGAAGGTAGAGCAAGGATGCTGATGTCTCTGTGCCTCCCACAGACCCTAATCTGGCACCTCTGGAACCGCCCCCTGAAAAATGACTCCTTCCTGCAAATCATCCTTCGGGACATGGGCTCAATGAAGAAAGAAAGGTGAGGCAGAGAGGCAGGAGGAGCCTGACTCTCTAACCAAAGTACAGCAGATGCTGCATCTCTCTAATCCATAACTCACTCAGACGCAAGGACCAGAACCCACTTCAGCCAGTTAATGCAAAAAAAAAACAAAAAAGGTGGGAGATTTGTGGAAAGGTAGCGAGGCTAGGAGCGCAGATTGACTAGAACTAGGAATCTGGAAACCCAGGAGCAAGTCTGTCTCTTCTGAAGCTACGGGATCTCAAATTTCTGCTTCTCTCTGTCCAACCCTGACTTCCCATCACAGCCCCATTCTAGTACCCAGCTGAGACTGACATCCCACTGACACTGAAGCTATGGCATCCTAAGTCAAAATTCCCTGGACAGAGACTCTGATTGACCCAGCTTCAGTCAGGTGTCACCCTCTGGTCCAATCACCTGTTACTTGGCACAGTCCTCATTCCAGAGGAGTGTGGGAGCAGTTTCTGGGAAGGGACTGGGCAGGGCAGAGCTGGTAACTGGGGCACCCACTGCCCAGGAAGCCCCAAAGCCAATTCCCAGAGACTTGAGAGCCCTGCGCCCTCTGGCGGGTGCTCTTCATCACTGCGTTCTTCCCTCAGCCTCTCTTTGTGGATAACACAGTCTCTAGGAGAGAAAACCATCTCCAGATAAAGGCATGCCTGGAACAGAGAAGGACACCCTTTCCCCTGGCTCAGGATCTCATATCTGCTCCTCATTTCCCCAGGTTCATTGGCCTGGCCACAATAATGCTCACGCCCTTGGTGAAAAAACCTAGTGAAGTCCTTTTCGTGAAGGACCTGACCCTGCTCAACCATTCTATGAAGCCCACAGACGTGAGTCGGGCCCCAGGAAGGGTGGCTGGAGGAGTGGGGGCAGCCGGTAAAGCTGGACTACTCCGCTCCAGCAGAGGCCCGGTGTCCCCACCCAGAGAGTGCTTCCTGCCCTGGAGGGGCCTCATCACACTGGCATCGTCTAGCCAAGTTCCCCATCCGCCATCTCTCCACCCACCCACCCTTCCACCCTTCCACCCTTCACCCACCCATTTAGTTTGATTATTTCGTTGATTATCCACTGGATGTCAGCAACTGTGCTAGGCCTGGGATACAAAATTGAATGAAACCCACTGTCTATTGGAGTGGGCACCACTCAGTGACAAGCGCTCCAGCACACGTGTACAGGAGTGAGTAAAGCTAGGTCACTGAGATCAGGAAAGAATGAATGATTCCGCTTGGGAGGTAATGGAAGGCTTTACAGTGGAGGTGATTAAGACGTGTGGAAACAAACAAAGACCAATCAAATGAGAACAAGCAGCGGCTATTTATTCAGAGCTTTCTATAGGAAGTGAGTCAGCTGCCATCACTTGTGTTTTGGCAGAGACTCAAAGGCAGGCAGGGAAGCAGGAAAGCTTTATAGTGGAAAAAAGAGGAGTGTCCTGATTGGAGGCTATTGGCGTGGGGAAGCTGGAGACAGGCTAGCTAGAAGCAGGGCATCCTATGTGATTGGGTAGGGGCGCACATTTGGCTTTCTCTGGTTGGTCCTACGCTGGAGGTGGGGACAAAAATTAGAGAAGCTATCAGTTATTAATCAAGTCCTGGCCGTTTGGGGCTGGTTGGAAGCTGTTTGGCTTCCTGGGTTGTTGCTGGAGCTGGTGGTCAGACTTCCTATAAGGCTGGCTTCCTGGGCTGGTTACTGCAGACACTGGGTTGGTTTCCTGGGCTGATTGCTGCAGATTGTGGGTCAGAGTTCCATTTTTATATATGGTCTGGCCATTGTCCATTTGGATATTCAGTTTCTCAGACGAATCTTAAGGAGGGGCGTGAGTTTGCCCAATGGACAGGAAAGGAAGACGATCCTAGGCAGGAGTATAAGGTGCATGTGTAAAGGCTGGAGGAAGAAAGAGGCAGCATGGCAGGCTCAGGAGGGCAGGCACACAGGATGGAGGGCATGAAAGGGGTGAGAGCTGAGACTGGGTGGGTGGCCAGGGGCCAGAGGTGAAAGTCCTCGTGGTGTATGCTGGGGAGTTGTGGCTTTTCTCTTTAGGGCACTCAGGGGGTAGTTCTGGCGGTGGTCTGGAGGATGGGTGGGTAGTGAGAGCACTTGGAGGCAGGAGGTCACTTCAGAGGTCTTTGCAGGAGTTCCCACATGAGGTCATGAGATGTTGGGCTAAGAGGAGAGCTGTTAGCATCAGTGGTTCTAGACTCATCCCAAGTCACCTCTCCCTCTCCTCCCCACCCTGCTGCATCATCTTCTGTCACCACCCCTGCCACATGGCTCCTCTGTTCTCCAAATCCTCTCTACTGTAACCCATTGCTCTCTCTCCAGTTTATAACCTCCCTCCACTCCAGACTGCACAGGCCCTCATGGTGTGGCCCTGTATCATGGCCAACATCGCTCCACCCAGGAGGACTGGGCATGAACCCACCAGGCTGGGCAAGGTTCCAGTTCTATGACTTGGCCAAGGATTGCAGGATCTGGCTTACAGTTCCCCTGCCTTTGCCTTGCAGTGCACTGCTACCCTACAGGTGGCCCATATGACCAACCACGATATTGACAAGACAGGTATGTCCTTCCATGGGGCTTACCCCTGCCCTTCTTCAAGCATAGCTGGATGGGCTCTTTGGGACCTTCAAGACCCATCCCTCGAGGCCTACAGAAGGACTGTGACCAGGTTATGGTGTAGAGGCTAGATCTCCAGACACCTAGCTGAGGCCATCTGTCACCCCAATATGTCCACTTGTCATCTCTAGACATAAGACCCAGCTTCCAATGGGGTGTGGAGAGAGGCAAAGACAGCCATTTCCAGGAGCCCCCACGTATGCAGAGTGGGGCCTGGGGTTACTGAGGGTAGGAGGGGACCTGCGGGAATGTTCTGGGGAGGACATGTGCCCCGATCAGGGCCTCTTGGCCATGTTTTTAGTCAGGAGCTGGTCATTCTGAGGATAGAATGATGAAATGGGGGAAATGCCTCAAAACCTCCTGAGCGCCAGCCTCTGAGAGCCCACCCTGGACTGTATTTCCCCAGGGGACGAAGACCTTCTGGGCATAACTACACGAGAAGCCGTCAAGCAAAAACTGATGGTTCCTGGCTCTGCCATGCCCAAGGCTCTGTCCTCAAAGCCTGAACACTTTCAGGTGAGGATCTTCCAGGTTGAAAGACATGATCTGTCTGACACCCTCACCGTGTTCCCAGGCCATTCCTACTTCTCCACAAGGTCGTGGCAGAGGGTCAGAGCTTCAGACTGGGCTACAGGTCCTCGGATCCTCACCGCATCCCCTGCTCCTGCAGGGGTCATGCTGGGGAGCTTCTGCATGTGGCTGAAGCTGGAGACAGTTGCAGTGAGGCAGCAGGAGCCACTGGTGATTGTGCCCCAACAGGCCCTAGCAGACGCTGGGGATGCAGAGCAGAAGGCGTGGACCCTGCCCCTCAGGAGTCCTCGGGATTGTTGACAACACAGGCTCGCTACGTGAAAGATGAAATTAACTGTACAGGAGGGGCTGAGGAGAGTTTGAGGGGATCCATGGGAAGGCCTACGGGTTCCACTGTGAATTCTAGAACCCCCATCCCGTTCCCTCTGACCTCCAGCATGTGACCTAACATTTCTGCTGTGGTTTTGCCTGTTCCCTGGCCTGCCATTTGCTCAGGAGATTGGGAATCATCCTTGACTGCCCCTCTTCCTCACCCACCCCCTGCCTCCAGTCACTGGCCAAGGCCAGCTCTTAATATGGCCTGACTGCACCCACTTCTCCATCACCGCTTCCATTCCTTGGCCTGAGCCGCCACCATTGCTTCCCTGGGCCACCTTGATAGGCTCCTCCCGAACTCCCCGCCTCCAGTTCGCTCCTGTTCATTCTTCAGTCAAAGTGGTCTTTCAAAGATGTCATTCTCATCATGCCATGCATTTGCTTTAAAATGTCCTTAAAAATGAGGATATCCCAATGTCCTCAGGACAAAACCCAAACTCCTTACAGTGGCTTCTCAGGCCCTCGAAAACCCAAACCTGCCCCTCCAAGCCACTTGGTCCTCTGCCCCTGCCCCTCCCCACCCTGCACTAGCATCCTGGACAACTTGCAGTCCCCATTATCAGGCCTCTCTCTAGCAGCCAGGCCTTTGCACATGCTGTTGCCTCCTTTGGAGTACCTTCCGTCTCCTGGCTGGCTCCATCCCTTTTCACCAGGCTAGTTGGCAAGAGGCTAGAAGGTCAGTGTGCCCAAATCCCTACCCTTCCTATGTATTAGGGGTTAGGGCAAAATTCCAACATGAGGGCTGTTTGCCTGGCTTGGCCCACTACTGTCTCTGATGGACAGGCAGCTGCACGTGTGTCAATCCCTGAAGGGTCCCTGGACTTGATGGAGGCACAGGAGGCCTCATGGAGAACGGCTGGACCCACGGCCTGGGTTGGGAGAGCTGTATGCTGTTTACTACCCACATTCTGAAGACAAGCTCCCGCGACTGTGCCCTGCTGGCCGTGGCCATCTCCAGTTCCTTCTCCCTCGGGCCTCAGCCAGCCTGGATCTTACGTGGGCTCCACGTTGCTCTTCTCCCTCCAGCCTTCGAATTCCAGGCTCAGATGCCACAGTCCCTTTACTGAGTCTCAGTATAGTACATAAAAGCGGCAGAAGAAAGCACAAATCAGAGATCAAATCACAGATCATAGATTGAACTGCACGGAATTTTAAATTTTCAATTTGTTAAAAAGATCATAGACAAAAATAAAAAACAAACAACAAACTGAGAAACATTAGACTTTCTTTTGTAACAAGCCCACACCAACGGAGAAGAGAAACACTAATTCTGCACAAGATGAAAAGGGCAAAGAAGTAGGGGTGACACTTCCCAGAAGAGGGCAGTGAAGGGGCTGGCCCGGTGGTGCAAGTGGTTAAGTGCGCATGCTCCGCTGTGGCGGCCTGGGGTTCGCCGGTTCGGATCCCGGGCGCGCACCAACGCACCGCTTGGCAAGCCATGCTGTGGCAGCGTCCCATATAAAGTGGAGGAAGATGGGCATGGATGTTAGCCCAGGGCCAGGCTTCCTCAGCAAAAAAAAAGAGGAGGATTGGCAGATGTTAGCACAGGGCTGATCTTCCTCACACACACACAAAAAAAGATGGCAGTGAAGGAGCCAAGGCCTCCCTAGGGCTTGTCTCCCAGCCAAGGCCAGCTCCTAGCCTTCTCCCTGTGGGTTCTCTTCTACCTGCAGTAGATGCTTATTATCACAACATTTTGTTCCTTTAGAGAAGAGTCCCTGGGAGAAGAGGACCCCAGGCCCCGACGTCAAGGTCCCCCGTTTTCTCGTCTGTAGGTCCGAGTGAAGGTGTTTGAAGCCCGACAGCTCATGGGCAACAACCTCAAGCCCGTGGTGAAGGTGGTCATTGGAGGCCAGCAACACCACACACGGATCAAGATGGGAAACAACCCTTTCTTCAACGAGGTGAGCCGCACGTGCCCTTCAGGGCTGAACGGGGCACTTGGCCAAGCGAGCCAGTCAGGGGCTGGGGGTTTCCTGCAGGCAGCTGGCAAGCTTGCCTCCTGACTCGGGTGTTTTCGTTTGTCTCTTCCACAAACATTTACTGAGCACCTATGGAGGGCCAAGCACTGTGTTTGGCACTGAGGATACAGATGGAAGAACTGGCAGCTCTGCATTTGAGGAGCCAGTGGTCTGTGGGGGGCCCAGCCTGTGAACACAGAAACAATCACAGAGGGATAACACCGGGGTTGACAGAGATCTGGGAGTGCTGTTTTTTTGTTTTTTGTTTTTGAGGAAGATCAGCCCTGAGCTAACATCCATGCCAATCCTCCTCTTTTTGCTGAGGAAGACCGGCACTGGGCTAACATCCATGCCCATCTTCCTCCACTTTATATGGGACGCCGCCACAGCATGGCTTGACAAGCGGTGCATCGGTGCGCGCCCGGGATCCCAACCCCGGCCGCCAGCAGCAGAGCGCGTGCACTTAACCGCTATGCCACGGGGCTGGCCCTGGAAGTGCTGTTAATGCAGCCATGAAATGCAGGCCCAGACCATGTACATCTTGTCACTGTTGGAGCCCAAATTGTAGCATTGTGTCTGATACACAGTAGGAACTCCATCAATACCTGCTGAATTAATTGGCAAGTGGACAAACAAATAAAAGAGAAAAGCAGAGTGGCAGCAGGGAGGAGTGGGTGGAGAGGACTCAGGAAAGGCCCTGCAAACCTTGAAGGAAATGTTTACTAGGGAAAGAGGGACAGGATGGGGAAAGATAATTCAGGAAAAAGGAATAGTGTTTTCAGAGGCTTGGAAGTGAGAATCCGTAGGGCTTGATGGCAGAACTGTAGATATGGGTGGGGCTAGAGGGGAGTGGCTGGAGGTGAGCCTGCAAAATGGGCTCAGGCCCCTTCATGGATGGCACTTGGGAGCCATGGAGGAACTTAAGTAGGATAGTGACAGGCCCAGGTTTGTATTTGGGAAAGGATATTCTGGCTGCAGCAGGGAGTGGGGGTGGAATGGACTGACAGGGCAATCTAGAAGGAGGAGAGGCTTGAATCTCCATTGCAGGGCAGCTAGCTGCTCATGACAGGTTCTCCAGGGATCCCCTACCCCTGCCTTTTATCTGGGCAGAAAACCCTCCAGGACCCTGGCCAGCCTCTGCTTCCAGAGAAGGAGCGTGAGGGTGGCAGTAAGCTGAAAGTTATTGAAATGGGCAAACGACCAGGAAGTAGAACGTTATTCTGAGCCTTCAGCTCACTGAGTCCCTGGGTGAAAAAACATCGTCCACCCCTTCCCCCATTCTCTCTGCTTCAGATCTTCTTCCAGAATTTTCATGAGGTTCCTGCAAAGTTCTTCGATGAGACCATCTTAATCCAAGTGAGGAGCCGAACAAGATGGGTCCACTTTCTTGTCCCACCTCAATTCTGGGAAGCATTTCAGTCCCCCACCCCACCCTTAGAGCCAGAGTCACTACGGATGGTCTTTCTGACCCGAAGGTAGCATCTCTACAACCTTCTTCACTCCAAGGCGGCCCAGCCTCCCCATTCATTCATTCGATAAATGTTACGGAGTGCCAAATGCTAAGCCCTGCCCCTAGGCACTAAGGTAAACAAAGCAGTCCCTTCCCATGTGCCACGATTCTCATGCCGCCAAAGGACCCCCAGACATCCCCTCAACATGGGACATTCTACGCCCCAACCAGAGGGAGCCCTGTAACAGTGGTGAACATGTGTTTATCAAGTGCCTCGTAAGTTCCCAGCACAGGCCTAAGGAGAACAAGAGGCCTCTCCCTTAAAGAGTTTACATGTTCTTAGGAACGCAGGCACATTGGAAACAACCAGATAACATGCAGTGGAGAAAGCTGAGGGCAATGCTTTATGCTGACCAAGTGAACTGTCCTCTGATCAATTTCCTCATCAGCAAAATGGAACTAAAAATCTGAACTTGACAGCGTTCCTCTGAGAATTAAATGAGAAAACCTATGTGGAAGTGTCAGCCATTAGGAAGCGTTGAGTAAATCCGGGAGAATCCTGAATATGCCCTTACAATTCCTCCCATGGGGTGGGAGAAATTGGGGTTGTGAATAACCGAGCTCTTTCTGGGAATTCCCCTGCAGGTGATGAATTCCTCGGTGATGAGATTTAATGCAGAGATCGGGAGATTCCAAGTGAGCACTGGATAAAGGAGGAGGTTTGGTGAAACAGTTAGATACCCACCCTGGGCTCTATGCCTGAGTCTAGGGGAAAGGACGTGCGTTTTCAAGCAGAAAGATCCAGATTTGGATCCACCAACCAATGGGATGACTTAGACAAGTTATTCTGAGCCTCTACTTCCTCATCTCCAAAATGGGGATAATAATATACTCAACCCACAGGGTCCTTGTGAGGATTAAAATATGCAACATTTAGGCAAGCATGGTGCCATGTTGAATTCCCCATACTTAGGATACTGTGGACACTGTTCAAATCTCCGCCTCCAGGAAATGGAAGGAGGGCATCCAAAAAGCCCAGGTTAATTGTTGGAGAAACCCAGAGAAAGATTGCTGCCTGTGAGGACAGAGTAAAAAGATTTGCTTTGGAAAGACACAGTCTGAGAGATAAGGAATGTTTACACAATCACGAAGGGTTAAACCAAGATTCTCCAAATCCAGGAAGTTCAGGAAAATAAAGTTTGCCAGATTAAATACAGGATGCCCTGTTAAATTTGAATCCTAAACAATAAATACTTTTTTAAATATAGGTATGTCCCAAATATTACATGGCTCCTCATGAAATATTGCAGGGGACATATGTACACAAAAAAAGTAGTCATTGTTTACCTGCAATTCAAATTTAAACTGGCATTTGTATTTTTATTTGCTTAATCTGGCAGCCCCTGAAAAGGGGCCTCACCCTTAGGAAAGGCAAATTTAAGACAAATCAAAGTAAGTTTTCTTTCTCACTGCTTGTAATAAGCACATGAGCAGTCATGACCTGCCCCTTCCCCACCTCACCCACACAGCAGCAGCACAGGCTTAGAAACTAAGAGATTCCAGAGAGGTTAGATGGCAGGAGGTTAAAAATATGCTTTTGACAAAGGCCATTGTGCAATTTCCAGACAATGACCAATGATATGATCTGTTGAATAAGTTATAAAGGTCAGAGAAAATCTGAGGGTTTTTTTTTTTTTCAGTATTACTTTTTTGGAAAATTTCAAACATACACAAACAGAGAGAGAACAGTATCATGAATTCCCATATCCTCATCACTCAACTTCACCAATTCATTGTCAATCATGTTTTATCTACAGCCGGCCCACTTCCCTCCCCCACTGGATTATTTTGAAGATTTTATTTATTTATTTTTTTCCCCCCAAACCCCAGTAGATAGTTATATGTTGTAGTTGCACATCCTTCTAGTTGCTGTATGTGGGACGCGGCCTCAGCGTGGCCGGAGAAGCGGTGCGTCGGTGCGCACCCGGCATCCGAACCCAGGCCGCCAGCAGCGGAGTGCGCGCACTTAACCACTAAGCCATGGGGCCGGCCCCGCACTGGATTATTTTGAATCAAATCTCAGACATCATTTTATTTTTAAATATTTCAGTATGTATTTCTAAAACGTAAAGATTGTATTAAGCATAACCAAACACAATTGTCACATTTAAAAACTTTTACCATTCCTGGATAGCAGTAAATAGCTAGTCAGTGTTCAAATTCCTGATTGTCTTGTGAATTCCTTTTACAGTTTGTTCAAATCAGGATCCACACCAGGTGCATACGTTGCAGGTGGTTAATATGTATTTTTAGGTCTCTTTTATTCTGTTGGCTCTGCTTCCCTTTTTTCCTTGCAATTTATTTGTTAAAGAAACTGGATAGTTTGTCCTGTAGAGTTTTCCCTTAGTCTGGATTCTGCTGATTGCATCTCCAGGAGATCATTTCACATGTCCCTCTGCCCAGGTATTTCCATCTAGAGGCTTGATCAGACTGAGGTCAGTTATTTCGCAAGATGACTTCAGCAGGAGGCGCAGAATGTCCGTTGATCTCTCTTTTTATGTTGTTAACAGCTATTGATGGTCACTGCCTAGATCTGTTGCTTCTTTAGGGGTGACTGAGTTTTGCTTTGTTTTGTTTTCTTACAGCTTTGTGGAGGTACAATTGACATACAATGAATTGTATGTATTTAAAATGTATAATTTGATACATTTTAAAATATGTATACACCCATGAAACCATCCTAACAATCAAGATAATGAATATATCTATCACATCTACCACCCCCAAAAGTTTCCTTGTGCCTCTTTGTAATTCTTTGCTCTCACTCCCATCTCGCCCCCTCCCATTCCCAGGCAACCACTGATTGCTTTGCATTTTCTAGAATTTTGTATAAATGGAATCATACAGCATGCATTTTTTTTTTTGTTTGGCTTCTTTCACTCAGCATAATTATTTTGAGATTCATCCATGTTGTTGCATGTATCAATAGTTCATCCCTTTTTATCACTGAGTAGTATTCCATTGTATGGATATACCACAGTTTGTTTATCGATTCATCTGTTGATGGACATTCAGATTGTTTCCAGTTTTGGGCTATTACAATAAAGCTGCTATAACATTGATGTATAAATCTTAGTGTGGACATATGCTTTAATTTCTCTTGAGTAGATATGCAGAAGTGGAATGACTAGCTCATATGGTAGGTATATGTTTAACTTTTCAAGAAAATTTCTAACAGTTTTTTCCCCAAAATCTCAAATAGGTTTTACCATTTTATATTCCCCCCAGTGGTATATTAGAGTTCCAGTTACCCTACATTCTCATCAACACTTGATATAGTCCATCTTTTTATTTTAGCCATTCTAATTACGTGTAGTGGCATCTCACTGTGATTTTAATTTACGCTTCCCTGATGGCTAATGATGTTGAGCATATTTTCATGTGCTTATTTGTCATCTATATATCTTCTTTGGTGAAGTGTCCAAATCTTTTGCTTGTTTTCATTGTGTTGCTTGTTTTCTTGCTATTGAGTTTTGAGATTTTCTTATATATTTCTTATATCTTATATATTCTGGACACAAGTCCTTTATCAGATATATGATTTGGAAACATTTTCTCCCAGTATATGACTTGTCCTTTCATTTCCTTAACAGTGTCTTTCAAAGAGCAGAAGTTTTACGTTTTGATGAAGTCCAATTTATCAAATTTTTCTCTTATGAACTGTGCTTCTGTTGTTGTATCTAAGAAATCTTTGCCTACCTAACCCAAGGGAGTAACTGAGTTTTAAAGCAGGCCTACATGCAGAATTTGGGGACTGCTCAGTGGAACCTTCAGATATGGGTTACAACAGTGGTCTGAATGTTCTGTGGCGCCTTGCCCCACACAACCCTCCATCCTGTACCACGTCTCTCAGGCCTCAGTCAGGGGAGGGGAAAGGGAAAACCCCTAGTCTCTTTGCCAACTCCTCCCTTGACCATCTTGTTCTCTTGTTCCCCAAGATGGAGACACCCTTCCCACCCAGGGATAGGGAAGAGTTGGCGCTCTGTTGGCCAGGCAATGCTGCGTGGTGGTTAACGACCCTTTCAATCCAGGCCCCCTCACTAGCTGTAAGACTTTGGGCACTTCTCCCAAACTCAGTATCCTCCTCTGCAGAGTGGAGGTGATAACGAACCAACTGCCAGGTTGTCGTAAATATTAAAGGAGTTAGGGCAGGGCAAGTTCTTAAGCACCAGGGGTTAGTATTGTCATCAGGTTAGTTGGCATTCCAAAGCTTGGCTGGAGGCCCTGACTAATCTTTACTCTATTCTTGTCTTTTCAGACAGATATTGGGTTTATCTACCATTATCCAGGTAGGTAACAGTTGTTGCAAATATGTGTGTCTTCTGAGAAAAACCAGGCCAAATATCAAAACATCTCAAAATCCCTGTATGTTCAACACATAGGAGGAGAGTACTAGAGGGTATGAATTATTTTCTGACTTGATAATATTTTACTGTATTTTTTGGTATTTTATCTTGTTTTATAATAACAACATCTTTCTCTGCAAAACTCAAGTCATCCCTTTGGGTCAAATGCTAACCTTTTATTGTAGCCTTGGGTTGAATTTCTATTTTTTGAGGCCAGTGTTGGGGAATTGAAGTTTCCACGCTCCTCTCCCGCAGAAACAAAGACTGGTTTCAGGGAAGAAGGATGGAGACTGGAGGCTGGGCCCTCTGCCTCATGGGCCCTCTGCCTCTCCAGGTCACACACTCCTGAGGAAGTGGTTAGGCCTCTGCCAGCCAAATGAACCCAACAGTGGTGTGAGAGGCTACCTGAAAGTCACCATCTGTGCCCTCGGTGTGGGAGACCAGGCCCTGGTGAGGCTGCCCCGCATACCCTAGTAATATTTCCTACCCTGGCTGCTTCTCTGGGGGCACCCCTGGGCCCTCAAAGTGGCCATTGATCTTCATATGCTTTCATTTGTCCACTGTGTCACTTCAGGGTTGTCCACCCTCCCTGTACCAAGTGGAAGGCTGGGGAAGCCAAATCTAGTGGCCTTGGTCGTGACCGCCCTATGACCCTGACCCTACCAGCTTTCTGGTCTCTCTAGGTAGATCAAAAGCTTCCCTATGGGGCTGATGACACCGCTACCCCAATCTTCAAGTCAACGGTGGTCCCAGTCAACATGGCCTACTTACAGTTCTTCATCTACTGCGCGGAGGACCTTCATCTCAGTTAGAGTCAGGGTGGCAGGGAGGGAGCGACTCTGAGATGCCCTACATAGTGGCACCCTGGAGTTTCATGGGGCTTCCCTGTTCCTTTTTGACACTAACCTAGTGTGGGGTGGGGGAAGAGGGAAAACTGAAATCTACGAAGAATTGTTTTATGAAAGCCTTGTAGACACCCTTTAAAATGGGCCATATGCACCTGTCTTTGATGTCCACATGAAGACCCAAGGCTCCCTATACCAGTCCTCACCCCTGCTGCCATTATGTGCCATGACTTTTAACAGCACCTAGAGATAGAGTGGAAATAGGAGAGGTCTTCCCGGGGGCACCAAACCAAATTATAGGGGAGGGTTTTAAGTTGTTTTGTCACCTCTCTGTTTCCTTCTCCTAAAAAGAAATGCTGCTGTCTCAGAAATCTTTTAACTTCTTGTTCACAGAGAAACACTATTCAGTAAGTCCTATGTTGGAGGTGGAACTAATTGGGGAAAAGGTAAGTGTAGAAAGGGTCTGATAAGTTGTCACTTAGAAAAAAACAGTGTGGGGAAAAGAGTGGGTTGGTGGGAAGACCCCAGGAATCGTATCCCAGTTCTTCCCTTGATGGGCAATGTGATCCCGCTGGACCAGGAACTCTGTGAAGGTGCAGGCCAAGGCTTAGTCACCCTGCATCCCAGAGCTGTGCCCACTGCCTTGCGTGGAGACAATGCCACTGAAAAACAAATATGCAAATGCACGGATGAGAGAATGAGTGAATGAAACAACATGCCCGCAGATGCACAACACTGAACAGTTGCCGTCCCCTTTGGCCCTCGTTTTCTTCATCTATAAATTGAAGGTTCTGGGCAAGAGAGTTGCCGACATTCCATGAATCTCTATGAATTTGTTGTTAGTGCTGTCGAGTCAGTTCTGACTCCTGGTGACCCTGTGTACGGCAGAGCAGAACTCTGCTCTGTCTTTTTGTGCCATCCTCTCACTTCTGGCGCTGTATCAGACAACGCTCCACTGCTAGTCATAGGATTTGCACAGCCAACTTTTTGGAAGTAGGTGGCGAGGTTCTTCTTTTTAATCTGTCTTAGCCTGGAAGGTCCACTGAAACCTGTCCATCATGGGTGACCCTGCTGGTATTTGAAATACCAGTGGCATAGCTGTCAGCATCCCAGCAACACGCAGCAACCACATAGATGGGTGGTGTGGTTTCCTGACTGGGAAATGAACCTAGGCCATGATGGTGAGAGCATTAACAGAGTAGCATTTTCCAGAATGTGCTGATGTGCAAAAAAAGGAACCTATGTTCAAATTTGGGAAATGCTGGGTTAAAGTTAAATAGGTTTGTCTCAAAATTCATGAACCATCATTTCCACCATATTCTACCTATTAGAAGAAGTCATTAAATCCAGCCCATATGAGGGGAGGGAGATTAGTGTCCACCTTTTGAAGGGAGGAGTATAAAGGATTTGTAGACATAATTTTAAACCACCACACTATTTCTTTCCCAACGAGTGGTTTGGGTACTCCCGATCTAGGTGAAATGCTCTTGGGTGGTAGGTGGCACACATTTTTCAAAAATTTTAATATTTCTGTGTTTTTCTTAGTGCATATTAAGAAGTTTAATCAGTCCTACTAACCCTTGATTTCACTGACATGATTGCTCAGAATAAGGCTAGGTTTAAAAATAAGTCAAGTGATGTTCTGAAAATGGCTACGCCCTTCTGTGCTGCCATCTGCATTGTTTTTGCCCACTTTTCTGTTAGAATCTTGGAGTTTATCTAAAAAAATCTATGTGTATCACTCATATAATAAAGTTAGTAACTCTATATCTATTTTAAAATTAAGTCAATTGAAAGTTGATTTAAGGAAAAATATTAAGGAATCTGGATCTGGGTAGGTTCACAAAGGCCTAAAATTGCAGCTGATGAGAAGTTGTCAGAATGTCTGTAGACCTGGGATTTCCCTGATCAGCTCTGTGCTGCAGACAGCGTCTATCTGTGGGCTGGACCAGAAGGGCTGGAAGGTGAGGCTAGTGGAGGGAGGAGGGGACAGGCCAGCACTGACACTGCTTTGGGATGTTTCCAGCTCAAGACAAACGTGCAGACCAAAACTGAGAACCCGATATGGAACCAGATCTTGACCTTCCAGATTCAGGTACCGCTGTTCCATCATGCCTACCCTCTTCCTCCTGCCCTACAAACAGAAGGGATGATTGGGTGTTCGTGTAGGAGTGTGGATGGAAGGTAGGGACCAAGAAGCATGCGAGGGGAAGTGGGGGCTCTGCTGGATAGGGAGCATGAGGAAGCCCAGAACATATTACAGAAAACCTTACTTTATTTATCTAGTATTAAGAAATGAGTGGGCCATACAGCTGAACTTTCCAGAGAATTTAAACGTGCCCTTTCACCTACATTAAAAAACAAAACAAAAGTCACTTGAGTCATTCTAAATTGTATTATGCATTTTCTTATCTTCTAGGCAAAGTGCCCTGAATATAATTATAGCTCTTTGTTGATGGTGTAGAGGTATCATGGGAACATAATTGTTATACAGGCTACATGTAGTGCGGGGCTATTTGTTTCTACACTAAGTAGCTCCAAGATGCTCTTCTTTGTGGGGTTCTGTGGTCTGATTTTTACAGCCTGTCAGTCCTTCTCAGTCACCTATCAGGGATGTGGATGCCAGTTCTCTCGAAGCTCTGGGAGAGCCTTTTGACTCCATGCCAGGCTTCTAAGAGCCGTGTGTAAAAGAAGAGTAGGCAATTCTGAGAGATAACGTGAGTGCTCTCCTGAGTGTGAGTGCACAGAACTTTGTGTGGCATCTATTTGGTGACCCAGAGAGAGTTTCACTCTCCTCATTCCTTCCATTTGTGTGATGGGAAATTAGCTAATGAACTCCCCTCTACCCTCCTGTGGACTCTCCTCCTTGCTTCTAGAAGCTTCCCCAGTCTGCCTCCTGGTGAGTCATAATTTTTAACCATTCCTCATAATCCTCACCTTCTTGGGTGATTTTAGTGACTCTAAAAAGTAGGAAGAGATTTTAGAGGGGGCCTAGACTATCCCTAGGCCACCTGTCCCTGGCCATGATGAGGTTCATGGCCAGGATCCTCAGATGTCCTGTGGATGCTCAGAGCCTTGGGAGTCCTGCCTCCTGTTCAGCTGCCTTCAGGCTCAGAAACCAGTGGCACAGGCCAGGCCCTCCTTTGTCCCTGAAAGAGGCCTTCCAACGTTTGAAGATGTCCAGTCCCTGGACCCTCACCCACTTCCCGCAAAACACAGTCTTCAGGGCTGGGGCCGTTTGGATGCAGGCCTGATTGTCACTAGCCCTCTGTAAATGCAATAAGTAGATGTGAACCTCACTCTGAAGTGGCAGGATGACCACACAGACAGTAGCATCTGAGGCCAGTTGGTCAGGGCCCCAGCACGGCAGGCTGCCAGGGCCAGGGGGACACTGCTGAAAATGGGGGTGTGCCAGCTTACAGTCCAAGGGCCCCAGGACAGGAGGGAAATCAAGACAAGGACTTCGGAAAGGGGAGGAGAATTCTCAACAGGGTGGGTGAAAAGATGGGTCAGCCATGAATTCGAATTTGGAGGGTTCGTAACTTTGGAAGACCTGGACGCCTGACAGTGCCCGTCTCTCCTCTCCCAGTGTCCTTCCTTAACCTGGGCATTTCCTCATTTCTTACTAATGAGCTGCTCAACTGGAAAGCCCTTTCCCTACTTCCCCTTGTTCCCCAGCCTCCATGGCAAGGGGAGAATGGACGAGCAGAGTGGAGAACTGGGAGGGTTCCCGGCTGTGCCCCAGGACCTGCTGTGAGGGGGTGAGGCCTCAGCGGAGAGCCTTTGGGTGCCACCCAGGCCTCAACCCCAGCAGCTGTTTTCCATATGGATTTTTTTTGTTTTCATAACCGAGGGAACCCTGTGGCAGGGTAGAGGTAAGACTGAGAAGCTTGGGTTCCAATCCTGACTCTACCCCTTACTGTGTGACTGTGAGCAAGTCCCTCTGCCTCTCTGGGCCCCACTCCCCATCTGTAAATAGGGACAATCACAGCCCTCACTGGGTTATGGCAGCCTGGTTGGGAGCTCTGAAGCCGCTTCAGCCCCTGCATGTAACATGAAGAACTTCAGGAATTCAACCTCTCTGTGCTTCAGTTTTCCTATCTGAAAACAGGAATAACAGCACCTGGCTTGTGTGGTTGTTGGGAGGGGTCACTCACATGATCCATGTAGATCATTCAGCACAGGCCAGGGCAGAACAGAAACCCTCCCCAGAGCGGCAGCTATTATTATTCATTCTTTGAGGAGATAGACATCCTGCTGACTAAAAGTCAACTGCTAACTGTGATGAAGACATTCTAGGCCCATGACCTCCCTATGAGATTGTTGGGTAAACACTCATTCAGACTGTGAAGGGGTGTGTGAGGATTGCAGTCATCGAGTCCATACACGGGGCAGACCCAGGTCTGGTGGGTCCTGAGGCTTATGTAATTAGGGGGCCATTTTAAGAACAAGAATACAAAACCATCATGGGACACAGTCCTAGGCCTCTCCCAGGGCCTCGCAAGGGGCCCTAAATCCGAAGGCCCATAAGCTCCCATGGTAAATCCATCTGGGCTGCAGTTAAATGGTTCATTGGTGGGCCGGCCCTGTGGCTTAGCAGTTAAGTGCATGCGCTCCGCTGCTGGCGGCCCAGGTTGGGATCCCGGGCGCGCACCGACGCACTGCTTCTCCAGCCATGCTGAGGCCACGTCCCACATACAGCAACTAGAAGGATATGCAGCTATGACCTACAACTATCTACTGGGGCTTTCTGGGGAAAATAAATAAATAAATAAAATTAAAAAAAAAAAAAAAATGGTTCATTGGTAACTGAGCCAGGCCTTGGGCCCAGACCCAGGACATCCCAGCTCTCAGTCTCCGCGAGGACCAGACCATCTGAGCAGGCACTCTCTGCTCCTCTCACCTTCCCCCTACAGCTGCCCTGCCTCTCCAGCTACATCAAGTTCAGAGTCTTGGACTGGTGAGCCACTGGGTGGAGGCTGAAAAACACGCAGGGGAGGAGAAACTCAGAGCTGGGCCAGGGGCTCAGCCTGCAGAGTGTGTTTCTCTCCAGCCCCAAGAACAGTTGCCGGGATGAGATCGGGACTGTCAGCCTGTCCCTCAACCAGATTTCATCCACTGGAGCAGAAACAGAAGGCAAGCAAGCCCCCCTGACCCCTGCCTGCTGTGCCTCTCCCACCTGGGTCCCGCCCCCTCTCACTCTCTCTTCTTGCAGGAATGTACTCTGGCTTCCTACCCTGCTTTGGCCCCAGCTTCCTGACTCTCCGTGGGGGTAAAAAGGCCCCTTTCAGGATCCAGGAAGAAGGCTCTGTAAGCTTCTCATGTCAGCTCTGGGGAAGAGTGGAGGTAAAACCAACCATGTGTAAGGCACTGGGGCCTGGGAAACACCTGGGGACAGCCAGGCCCTGGTTTCTGCCGCCACACTGTAGTAGAGGACGCGTAGCCTGTACTTAAATGGCCACGTATACTTGTGCTGTGGCACAAGAAAGGCACAAATGGAGTGCTCTGGGGGTTCATGGAAGAAGGGGTGTTGAGATCAGGCCTTTGGTAAGATTTTCAGCAGGTGGAAAGGACACGTGAGACAAAAGAAACAGCACAGGTAAACGTGGAAAAGCATTGGGTTATTTCAGACTGGTGACATATGACAGAAAGCCAACTCCAATCAGCTTAAACGACCGGGAAGGAGACTGGGAGGGACTCCCAGTGAGGCAGAGCTGCAGACACCAGGACCTCCACGCCCTCTCCTTGCATCTCTCATCTCTGCAGCTCTTTAGCCTGGGCCTCATTCTTTCCTACTGCAGTCATGCCTCCCTTCTGGGAACGTGGCCATGGAAGCCTTTAATAGGGAAGGCCAGGGAGGCATTCTAATTGGCCTCCTTAGGTCACGTGTTGATCCCCTTGGACCAATCACAATGGCCAAGGAGGTGGGGCATGCCCTGATTGGCCAGTTGACTCTCTGAGTCAACTACGGAGAGCTGACTCAGTAGTTACCACAGTCCCCTCCAAGCAGGCAGCATTTATGGGGAACAGAGAACTTCAAGTTGGCCATCAGGTAGAATGCGGCAGAGGAGGAGTGGCCCAAAGGGTGTAGAAGAGGGGTCAGGAACCAGAGGTTTCCTGGCACAGCCATGTCTGGGTTTTCTGGAATTCCTCCCTGGGATGTGAGCAGCCCTGGGCAGGAAGTTGTGGGCAACCCTGTCTTTGCTGCACAAGTTTCAGGGGAGACGTGCCTGCTCTTTTTCTCTCATCCCTTTTCTCCTCGTTTTCCTCCTTGTTACCCTAGATTATTCCCAACTCTGTTAAGGATGGTTTAGCTTATCGAGGCCGAGTCTTCCTGGAGTTAATCACACACATCAAGTCCCATCAAGACTCTAGGATAAAGGATCTCTCCAGTGAAGTGACCAGTGTAGAGGTAATCACGGAAACAGGTAACCCAGGAAGAAAGAGGCCCACTGCCTGCCCCAAATCTTCTGACACTGCAAGAAGCCCTGGCCACTAGCTGAATGCACTGTTGGGGGCATGAGAATGTTTGGTCAACCTGCCTGAGTCTTCACTAAGACCCTGGGGGGCTTCATGCTGTGCCAAATCCCAGGTGGTCAGAGGACCCAGTAAAGACAAGATCAAGTTTTGGTTTAAGAAATGTGTAAGCTAGTTAAGGAGAAATGATGTTCTAAGGAGTTTGGATTTCTTCCCAAAGGCAGAGGAGGGTCAAGGAGGCAGGAGAGGGCAGGAGGAGCAGTGTTAAGAATAAACTGGAGTGGAGTAAGTTGGGCTACCCACTCAGGAGAAGTGGGGATACAGTCACGGGGGCGGAGAGCTGGAGAGGAAGGAGCAGGTTCCACAAATCCTTTGGAAACAGAATGGTCAGAGCCGGTGATTAAGAGGACATGAGAAGTGAGGCCGACTCCCCTAAGCTGACGCCCATTTTCTGCCTCGAGTGGCAAGGTGGTCGGGGGTGGTGTACCTCAACATGGGCTTCCTGAAGGCGAAGCAGGTCTGGGGGAGATGATGAATCCCAACTTGACATGTGCTTGTGAGACATCCACATAGACCAGTCCCTGAGGCTGCTAGATGGATGGGTGTGTGGTCAATACACCAGGATCTCAACCCCTGGTTGTGGAAGAACTGCCCAAGGGGAGTAGGCAGAATGAAAGGAGAAGGGAGCTGAGGCTGGAGCCTATCAGGACTCCACAGCCTAAGTGGCAGGTGGAGGAGGAGAAGGGGTTTGCAGAGGAGACCGAGGAGGATTCTGCAAAGGGGAGCCCTGAGGCAGCCTCTGGAGGGGAGAGTTGCAGAAAAGAGCAATCCGTGATCTGAACGTGGCAGAGAGAAAGGATGAGGACTCAAAAGTGTCCGCTGGTTATTAGGAGGGCACCAGTAGCTTTGGGTCAGGAGAGAAGCCAGACCACAGTAGGTGGGAGGGAGAGGTTGCAGATGATGTATATAGAGGCAAGTGCATAGAAACTTGGCTGGAAAGTGGAAGAAGACAAGATCAGGTGGTAGCTAAATAAGGGCTCAGAGGGGAGAAGGAGAGTTATTTTTCAAGACAGAGGAGACCTGAACTACTGAACAGACTGGGAGAACGCAAGAGTAGGGCAGAGGTTGGCAACAGAAATGAGAGAAGGGCTAACATGATGGATAGAGGACCCTGAGCAGATAGGAGGCATGGTGGGAGGAGGGGCCTTGAGAAGGGCCAAGAGCAGATGCACGTGTGTGTGCAACCTCTACCACGCACCCCTGCCCACACTCTGTCTCATCCAAGGAAGGTGTTTAGGCCAAAAGGAGAGGCGTGGGGCAGCCCAACTCAGAGCCTAGCCTGACCAAGGAGAAGACCCTCCTGCCCAATTTCAGGAAGGGAAGGAACCAGAGCTGGCTGGGTGGAGGTGGTCAGGTGATGGAGGTCCTGGGAAGAACTGCCCTTGATCAGCCCTGAGTGGGAGTCAAGGCAGGGTTTTGAGGGGGGATTCTGAGTTCAGTGATAGTCTAGCTCACCCTGAAGAGAAGCAAAGTGGGTGTTTCTTTCTTTTGAAAGAAACAAGGCACCTCATCCTAGCCTCCCTGCCTGTCTCTATAGCCTTGTTCATCCCTTGGCTTATGTACTGGGGATGTGGGGGGTTATTGTTTTAGAAGCACCAGAACCGCCAAAAGTATGGGCTGTGCGTCATCTTCCTTTCCTGTACCATGATGCCCAACTTTAAGGACCTGATCCAATTCGAGGTCAGCATCGGCCACTACGGAAACAAGATGGACCAGAACTACAAGCCTCTCGTCTCAACCACACAGTACAGCCCAGTGATATATGATGGTAATAGTCAGATCCAACCAAAGAGTAGCAAGCATCCATGGCACGCCAGACTCTGTGCTAGGCCCTTTTAAGGGTACCAGCTCACGGAACACTCATAGGCATTGTTAACCCACATTTCACACATTAGGAAAACGAGCTTCAGGGAGGTGAACTCACCAAACATTGCACAGCTAATAGGTGGTGAACTCACAAGAGTTGAAACTAGGTCTTGACTTCAAGTCCTTCTCTACACTACATTCCACACTGCAACTTCCTCAACCCCATCTCCTCCCCTGCTGCTCTGAACCACCCCCAATCCATCCACGCAACTACCACTGTTACTCATCTGCCCACCTTCCATCCCTCCATTCATCCGTTCGTCCCATACATACTTATTGGACACCTATATTGGGCACTATAGAGTAGCAATTCTCACACTGCAGTCCCTGGGCCAGCAGCAGCAGCGTCACCTGGGAACTGTTAGACATGCAGATTCTTGGTTCCACCCCAGTCCTACAGAATCAGAAGATCTGGGGATGGGGCCCCACAATCTGTGATTGAACATGAGAATCACCTCCAGGTGATTCGATGCATGCTCAAGTTTGAGAACCACTGCTCTAGAAGAATACTGTCTCACTTTCCTCTTTCTCCGCTCCACCATCTCGTCACCCATTGAGAGCCTTTCCGTGCATCTCTCTTCTCTGCCTCTTTCTTTAAGAACAGCTTTATTGAAATATAATCCACACACCATACAACTCATCCATGTAAAGTACACTATTCAGTGGTTTTCAGCATATTCACAGAAGTGTGCAACCATCACCAAGGTCAATTTAAAACATTTTCATCAGCCCAAAAGAAACCCTGTGCCCACTAGCAGTCACTCTATTTCTCCCCCACCTCCTCAACCTTAGGCAAACACTAATCTACTTTCTGTCTCCTTAGAGTTTCCTATACAGGACATTTCATATGCATGGAATCATACAACATGTGGTCCTTGGAGACTGACTTCTTTCACCTAGCATAATGTTCTACTTGTTTTTAAATTATGAAATATTATACAAAAAGTATATAAAATGTATATGTAGCGTTTAAAAAAGAAGAATAAAATGAGTACCCACAAACTCAGCTCAAAAGATAGAAAATTGTCAGCATCTTAGAAGTCCCCTGTACGCTCTTCGCAGGTCCACTTACCCAAGAAATACCCACCATCCTGACTCTTGCGATAATCACACCCTTGCTTTCTTTTAAATTTTACCACCTATGTACGCAACCTAAACAGCATACTATTTTTGCATTTTATATAAATGGATCTTTCAGTCCATATTCATCTGTTTGCTGCTTTTGCTCAATATTAAATTTTTTTATATTGGTATGTGTAGCTGAAGTTCATTTTCATTTCTGTATATAGTCCACTGTATGATTATGCCACAAATGATGTGGTATATGTAGACATTTAGATTGTATCTTTTTTTTCTACTATAATAATTTTGTATAAACATTCTTGTACATGTCTCCTGGTCACAAGAGCAAGACTTCCTCTAAATTATATACCCAGGAGTGGAAGAGAACTTCAAAGCAAAAGCAATTATACCAAATTACACTCCCATGAGCATGTGGTATGAGAAGTCCTATTACTCTGCATTCTCACCAGTACTTGATGTTGCCCAGCCTTTTAATACCTGCAATCTGGTGGATATAAAATAGTATCTCTTACGATCTTGATTTGCATTTTCCTGATTATAAATGAAGGTTGAGCATCTTTTCACATGTTTATAAACATTTGTTTTCCTCATCTGTAAAAAGCCTATCAATATCTTTTATCCATTATTCTATTGGGCTGTATTTTTCTTATTGACTTGTACATTATTTTTTCTGGGAATAATTTTTTGTCAGACGTGTCGTACATATCGTCTCCAAGTTTAGGGCTTTTCATTCTCTTAATGGTGACTTTTGCTTTTTTTATTGAGGTATTACTTACAAGCAATAGAATACACAGATTTTAAGCGTACAGTTTGATGAGTTTTGACAAATACATACACCCACGTAACCACCATGGGTATAAAGTTTCATCACCCCAGAAAGCAGCCATGTATGTGCCCCTTTCAGTCAATCTCCCCAACCCCTGGGGCCAATCGTTGTAATATCTATCGCTACAGACTGTTCTGTTTGTTCTAGAACTTTATCTAGGTGAAATCGTACGTATGGTACTCTTCCTTTTTCTATGGCTTCTTTGGCTCAGTGTAGTGTTTTAGATATTCAGCCGTGTTGTTGCATTTATCAGTATTTTGTTCCTTTTTATTTCTGATAGTATTCCATTATATGAATGTGACAGTTTATTTATCCATTCCCCTAACCATGGACGTTTGGATTGATTCAAGTTTTTGGAGTATTATGAATAAAGCTGCTAGGAACATTTGAAGTCTTTTTGTGGAAACGTGCTTGCATTTCTCTTGGGTAAATACCTAGGGATGGAATTTGGGTTTTATAAGAAAATACCTAACATTTTCCCAAAATGATTGTACCATTTTACACCCCCACAGCAATGTTTGAGAGTTCCATTTGCTCCACATCCTTGCCAACTTTTGGTATTGTCAGTCTTTTTCATTAGAGTCATTCTAGTTGGGTCAAGTTGTACCTGTAGCTTTCTTTTTTTTTTTTTTTTGTGAGGAAGATCAGCCCTGAGCTAACATCCATGCCAATCCTCCTCTTTTTGCTGAGGAAGACTGGCCCTGGGCTAACATCTGTGTCCGTCTTCCTCCACTTTATTTGGGACGCTGCCACAGCATGGCCTGACAAGTGGTGTGTCGGTGCGCGCCCAGGATCCGAGCCCAGGCCGCCAGCAGTGGAGTGCGCGCACTTAACTGCTACACCACAGGGCCGGCCCTGTACCTGTAGTTTTAATTTTCATTTCTCTAATCACTAATGATACCGAGCATCTTTTGATACTCTCATGTCTTTCTCTATGAAGGGACTGTTCAAGTCTTCTGTCTGTCTTTCATTGAGTTGTTTGTCTTTTTATACTAAATTGCAAGAGTTCTTTTATATTTTACACATCCTTTGCAGATATGTTTTGCTAATATTTTCTTCTGCTCTGTGGCTTGACTTTTCAATTTCCAAGCAGTATCTTTTGAAGATCAAAAGTTCCTAATGTTGATGAAGTCCAATTTGTTGATTATCTTTTCTTTTATGGTAGTACAGTATGTGATCTAAGAAATATTTGTCCCCCCCAGGATGATAAAGCTATTATCCTGTGTTTCATTCTATGTTTTATAGTTTTGGCTTTTTTAAGTTTATAATCTAACTCAACTTAATATTTTGTATACGGTATGAGGAGGAATTTTTTTCTATACAGACATCCAATTCAGCACCATTTGCTGAAAAGACTATTCATCCCCATATTGAATTACCTTGACACCTTTGTTGAAAATCAATTAACCATATATTGTGGGTCTCTTTCTAGAATCTCTGTTCTGATCCATTGATCTATTTGTCTATCTTTATGCCAATATCACACTGACTTGATTACTGTAGCTCCAAAGCAAGTCTTGAGATCAGGTAGCGTAAATTCTCCAACTTGATTGCTCTTTTACAAAATAATATAATTTCTGACTATTTTGGTTCCTTTCCATTTTCATATAAATTTTAGCATTAGCTTAGCAATTTCTATAAAAATTTCTACAATTTCTGCTGGGATTTTCCTGTCTTCTTTTGTTTTAATCAAGTGTTTTTTATTTGTTTTGTTTTTAGTATTGCATTCTATCTCCTCTATTGACTTACTGGCTATATGTCTTTGGATTATTTTTCACAGATGCTCAAGGGATTACAATATTGATCCTTCACCTAGCATAGTCTAACTTGAGTTATTATACTATTTCACATATAATAATATAACTATAATTTTAATTAATATATATTTAATATAGTTATATTATTATATATAATGCATTTATAATAGTATATTTGCATTTTCACCTTTTTGTTACACATTCTGGAATTGGTTTGCTAATAATTTTTTTAGGATTTTTGCATCTATATTTACGAGTAAGATTGATCTGTAATTTTCTTTCTTGTAGTGTCCTTGTTTGGTTTTAATACCAAAGTTATGCTAGCTTCATGAAATTAATTGAGCAGCATTTCTTCTTTTTACTCTCTAGGAGCATTTTGGTAAGACTGGAATCATCTGTTCCTTGAAAGTTTGATAGAACTCACCTTTAATTATGAGCCTGGTGGTTTTTCCTGCAATGATTTAAATATAGATTTATTTTACTTTATTCAGCTTTTCTATTTCTTTTTAAGTCAATTTTGGTAAGTTTAATTTGTCTAGGAATTTATAAATTTCATCTAAGTTTTCAATATTTTCAGCATAAAATTGTTCATGATATCTTAAAAGAATTTTTTATCGTGGCAAAATATATGTAACATAAAATTTATCATTTTAACAATTCTTTTTTTTTTTTTTGAGGAAGATCGGCCCTGAGCTAATATCTGCCAATCCTCTTTTTGCTGAGGAAGACTGGCCCTGGGCTAACATCCATGCCCATCTTCCTCCACTTTATATGGGACGCCGCCACAGCATGGCTTGCCAAGCGGTGCGTCGGTGCACACCCAGGATCCGAACCAGCGAACCCCGGGCCGCCGCAGCGGGGCGCGTGCACTTAACCGCTTGCGCCACCGGGCCGGCCCCATCATTTTAACAATTCTTAAGTGTACAGTTCAGTGCAATTAAGTATTCACATTGTTGTGTAACTATCACCACTATTTCTAGAACTCTTTCGTCATCCCAAACAGAAACTCTACTCTTTGAGGAATAAATTCTCTTTTCTCCCTTCTCCAAGCACCTGGTAACCTCTATTCTTCTTTCGGTATCTATGAATTTGCTATTCTAGATACCTCATATGTGTGGAATCATATAATATTTGTCTTTTGTCTGGCTTATTTCACTTAGCATAATATTTTCAAGGTTTATCCATGTGTAGCGTGTGTCAGAACTACATTCCTTTCTGCGGTTCAATGACATCCCA